AAATGCCCTGACGGCGATTCTGTGTGTCGGCTAAATGTCGGCTATGTCGGCTAATTGTCCTGTCGGCTAACTGTCCGTATCGGCTAAATGACCTGTTGGCTAAGTGTCCTTGTCGGCTAACTGTCCATGTCGGTAAATGTCCTGTCGGCTAACTGTTCCGGTCGGCTAAATGACCTGTCGGCTAAGTGTCCTTGTCGGCTAAGTGTCCGTGTAGGCTAAGTGTCTGTGTCGGCTAAATGTCCTGTCGGCTAAGTGTCACGGACCCTAATTTCAAAGCAAGCAATGGCAACACTTTATGGGGAAACATGTTTTTCTCCAGCGTGCGAGACTATCTATCGAAAATTCTATAGATATGCTGTTTTTAAATATTTTATTGTGTAATTCAAATTTTGTAAAACGAATTTTTGATTAACAAACTCAATGATTTCAAAGCCAGCAATGGCAACACTGTACGGAAAGGGGACTAAATTGTTTGTAGTGCGCGAGACTGTCTATTAGAAATGCTAAAGATAAACTGTTTTTAAATATTTTTAGCCCAAATGCTCTCGAAATGTTTATGTGTATGTAAATGAAAAAACAAAATGCCCCTTTGTGTGTAATACAAAATCTGAATGCTTTCAGGTTTTATATTATTTATATATATACATTTATAGTTAGAAAGTAAGAGAAAAGAAAGCTTTACAAGAGGGGCAAACTTCATGTATGTAAAAAAATAATAAACTTCTTTATTTTTTAGTTCAGCTTGACATTTGATAGCGTCTCAATTCTGATAAAGTTTGTAGCCTTAACCTTTCGCCGTCCTCTCCTGTCCGCGAAAATTTCACCCTGGCGGCCATTTTTTTACGTAGCGTGTAATGTTGTTTTCTCTGTACATCATAACTTTCATAGTGGATGAATGTCAATGAATATTAAGTAAAATTATAAGGAAATAAAGCATGATGGAAAAATAATAATATCCCTGCTTATTTCTAACAACAGGATAATTATCCGTTGTGGAAATAAAAAGAGGATGAAAAATATAAATAAAGCATGATGGAAAAATAATAATATCTCTGCTTATTTCTAACAACAGGATAATTTGATAACATTTGATCCAGGCGGTCCACTTGAACGCGATCGAGAACGATTGGCGCGCGTTACAGCCGCCCTGCGGAAGTTTCACTTGAACGCGCTAGACGCGTTACGGACGACGAAGAGGTTAAAGAAGAATTTTTTTAAATTACCTTCATCACGGACTGAAGCTGCTGATTGGTTAATCAGGTTCATGTTTCATTAATTTTCAACAGTGAAAAAAAGCTGTTCACATATGCATGTATTTCTAAACAAAGAGATTCTTCTAAGTGCAAAAATTCCTAACAGCCCATGATTCTTTTTTGACAAATACTAATAAAAGTTATTCAGATTTGTATCTTCAAATCTTTAAATACGATTCATATCACAGAGTTAATTAATTAGCTCCAGGTACATATATTTTGGTGTGTTCTTTATGTTCGCTTTTAATGGTGATGAAAATAATGTAAACTCGGTCTTCAAATAACTAATATATTGAAATCGTTGCAATACCTTATCTGAAAAATATAAATTACTAAACTATATTCACAGGCCACATGCGGCCCATGAGCAGCCAGTTTGAAACCACTGCATTAAATAACAAAATTGCTAAATATGAAGATACACAACCATCCTGATTAAGTCTCTTAACACAAAATACGCTAAACTTCAATTTGATACTAACATTGTAAATAAATGGGGTGTAGCCAGGAAAATAAAATTCAGTATGGTCATTTATAGAAAACATTAGTGCAATTCATTAATAATCAAAAAGCATAACCAAGACGTCCAACTTCAATAAGAAGCTAAATATTTAGGAGTAATTCTTCAAAATTAGCATCTAGAAATCATACTGATTAAATCATCCATACATTAATGAAAGCATTTATGCCTTGCTTGGAAGGAATCTAAACTGATACCTGAAATTAAAAGAAAAAATTCAGAAAACAGTGAATCTTCTCATTCTTCTATATGCTTCTCCAGTATGAGGCACTTCAGCTATTAATCATAGAAAATTAGAGTTGTTCAGAACAAGATTCAGATCTATCCTCAAAATGTATCTCTAGTTAATGATTCTAATTAATAAAAAATAATTACATTTTGCACTTCCTTTAAAGCTTGCTGCCTCCTTCATATCAAGAAATTAACTCCTTAGCAAATTATAAATCTAACATTACATTACAAATACAAAATACCTAAAACCATCTTCGACAATTAAGCGGTAAACTTATTGTTTAATTTCTATAAAATATCGTCGGATTCTGTCAACAAATGGCAACACGGCTGTCATACTCTGCTAACCAACCTAATGGGCTGGTTGGCAGATTAATAGCCAACCTAACAGCTTTTGATTTCTCACTGAACAAGAATCTTGTTTCTTGCCATTTGGCAATATTTATTAATTATTTTTTTTATTATCATAAGGCCTACTGAACTATTTCTAATATTACAAGTTTATTCACACTTAAGAAGCTACGCACTTGTCAATCAATTTTTATTTGTGAATTCTATTCTTCATAAAAAATATGCAAAAACTTCCATGTTCTGTATCTATGAAGCTAATCTAAAGGTTCAACCAAAAAAAAAATTACAGGCATATTTAGAGGTAATCCCTCTTCTTAGCAGTCAATCCTACATTTTCAATGCTTTTTGACAGAAAATCAAAAGTATGGAAAATCTTTGGTATTCCATGGTTCAGCACCTGACAGTGAAATTTCTTACCCATATGACACCAACCCTCCACTCCCAGAAATGAAATCACTTCCAATGTAAATAAATAATCTGTAAATAAGTGAGACAGATTTTGCCCAGAAAAATAAAAAAAAATAATGGGAAACTTTGACACTATATTTCAAGAATTACGGCTCCAATGAGGAATGAAATGTTACAGCTATAATGAGGACATCTTCCTACTAGCATTGCCCCTGCCCTTCACATATTTTTCATAAAATGAAGATCTGAATGTGAGTCAAACTACCAGTGTTAAGCAGTCTTAATAATTTGGCCAATGGTGAGCCACCTGCTTCTTACTCATTTTTTGCACAGTTCTTACCATTTTTCAGTCATTCAAATTATACAGTTACTTATCCTTAACCCAGGTAAATATTTAAAATTGATCATGATTTTTTATTTAAAAAATACTATTATTTTAGAAGTAATAAAAATGAGGTTTCCATCATTTATACCTATATTCAGAATGAAGATCATTTGATATCCAGCAATATTTATAACCAATTAAAATAAATTATAAACATATCTTTAACATATAAGTAATTAATTTTCATACCTTCTGATAAAAATGAGATAAATAAAAATTAATTAATTAAACCAACTTTTTTATTCCATAAAATAGATATATTCCTATTTAACTGTCACATTTTTCTTCATATCAAGTTTACTAAATAAATCGAGGAGTACAAGAATAATTTTATTTAGGCATATGTACAGATAATCAAAAATAACCAGAACTGCAACACTGCAAGCATACATTTTGTAATTACGGATTATGCTGCTATCCTTTGTTAGCTTAGGATTTCCTGCAACAAGCTGGCAAGTGGCATCATTCAAAATGGATCGGTTTATCCTTGGTATTGATTTGTATGTATTTTTGCTCACAGTATCCAATAATTTTAGCGACATGCAACTACAAAGAACAAAGAAATGAGCATGAATTGTTTTTTATTGAGGAAAACTACAGCTAACATCACTGTAATGCTTTGGCAAGTTCTTAAAAGATAATGCTTCAAGTAAATCACAAGTATATGAATGGTTTTCCTGATTCAAAAAGGCACTTTGTCAAATGAGGAATGCAATTTGGTATTCATTAGTGGTCAGTAATGATAAAAACATTGAAAAAAGTGGAGGATTCTATTAAAAAAAAATCATTAAAAGACCACTGAGCAGATTTATGAAGGAGCATAGTCTGACACTTCTTAGGAAAGAGCAAATTTATTCTTGTGTCTCACTCATGTTACTCATTATATCTTGACAAGTGTGACTTTTTTCTCTCATGGCCAAAGAAAGCTCTCAAAAAACTCAGTGACGTTGATAAGGTGCACAAGAATGCACAGTATATCTTCAATAGTATTTCTGGTCAAAAGTTCCAGAGCTGTTTCCATCAGTATAGGTAAAACAGTGAGAAACATAAAATGCTGTTTGTAAAGAATGTTTTGATGAGGACTAAGTGTAAAGTTTACCATAACTGCTGGAAAACAGTTCAGGTTATTTTGCAGTACCTCTCATACATTCTTACTAATATCAAAAGAAAAAGGAAGAAGAAATATTCTATAAATGCATCTCTCTCTTATGTATGCATACATGTATTAAATTTAATTATTTCTTAGAACAGTATAATGAAATTCATTTTTAAAATTTTATGAATTTTGCATTAATTTAATTCATTTTTAAAGTGATTCTTTTAAATGGATTCTATAATAATTTAAAATCAGTTCTTTCAAATTCATTTTTAAAGCCGCCCAGACGTGATAGTGGTTAGGGGAGCCCGACTGCGATACCAAAGGGCCCGGGTTCGAATCCCAGAGAAAGCATGAATGTAAAATTGTCTGTCCCTTCATAGGAGGTAATGGTGGCCCCCTATTAGGTGCCTTCATAATAAAAAGGCTACCACTTCTGGCCTTAGTAGTGGCCAATGCCGTTATAGGCAAGTGCCGCCATTTGTAATAAAAAAAAAATTAATTTTTAAAACACTGTGAATTTTGGATACATTTTTTTGAAAAGCTAAACCCTACAGTACTCGACAGACTTTAAAACAGATCAAAGTGAATAGTTTAGATTCATGTTAATCTCAATGTTTCTCTCAGACAATTGCAATAAAATAAACATATAAAATTAGAAAGCATCAAGAGCATACAGTAACTTATATAGAATTATAAAAACCATGTATTTTAGAGCCTTAATTTAATGAAGAATTACGAGTCAATAACAGAAAAAAAAATTTAAATCCTTCTTTATTTGGAAGAAAAAATAACAAATGGTTATAAAAATAAAATCTCACAAGAATTTTTAAGGCAGTCTTTGGCAATTATCAGTGTACATTTAATGCTTGAATAACCATCAGAAGCACTGGGTTCAAAATCTTGTACAGTATTTCCTGCTACAACCTACCAAGTGAGTAATCTGCCTGACTGGCTTGTGTCAGGACCTCATACTATATGAAAAACACTATGTATTTTCTTTACTTGCAAGACAAAGTATGTGGAAAACTGAGTATTTAATATAATAAATACTCTTATTTCTAGCACAATAATCTATCTGCAGGGCCATCTTTGGGCCTTATACAAACAGAGGGGAACTATTAGCCCTATACAAATGCTCACAGCTGTTAATAAGAAACAAAGGAATGAACACTCAATAATCTGGATACATGAAATAGTCCAATGTATGAATTGAAATAGTATGAATTATGTATGAATGCTTATCCAAGAAAAGTACTATATTAATACTGTTTATCAGTCAATAACTTAGTAACAGTTTTAGTTATGAAACTTAATAGTGATGGAAGAGAAGATTTTACTTCTGATGATATCGTAAGTGGTGTGAGTACAGTAACTATACCTCGAAGTTGTCCAATATTGTGCTTATAACATTCACATAAGAAATGGAATAGGGGCTCTGAACTAGAAAGAATAGGATTGCTTTCTATCATATTACATGAAATATTATATTCAGAATTCAAAATACCTTCATTATCCTCCGACTGAAAGATATTTTCACTTTCCTTTGACTGCAAAATATTTTCCATATTTTCCTTTTCCTTTGAAACTTTATATTTTTTCCGAGCAATATATGTGCGACAATACACGGTGCACTGTATTGCCATAAGAAATTCAAAACTATTGCAAGAAGAGGTATGATTTTCAGCATTTGATTTAGTTCTAATGGAATTTTGAACACCAAATTCTCTGTATTTTTTACAGTACATACAATTATATTTGCTTTGCTCATTTTCAAAAGTATTTCCATATATAAAAAAACTTTTATCTATGACTTCACATTCAAATAAAAGGCCAGCCTGCAGAACATCCAACACAGCCTGACATGCTCGGGCACACCATAAATTTTCAAAATGGTCACAAATACCTAAAACTGAAATTGTATCATAGCATACATTTATAGAACCAACAACAGATTTCTCTGCTGTACATGGATAATGGATTTCAAAAGCAGATTTATATGTGTCTGCATCAAACAGCAATTCAAACTGACGACTACAGTAGAATATATTCCTTGCTTTGTTTAATGCGATCTTGAAGTACATCAGCAAATTGTAGCTGACATTTCGGCTTGTATTAAATGACAGAATAAAAGGATCTTGGACACAGATAGCAGTCACCTGAAATGAAAGGTTTTAGCATATATTAAAAAATATACATACAGTGAAATATTCTTATATTCATGATCCTTTACAGTTCAAGATGATATCAATCATTTGTGGAAAAAAATAACCTTAGAGAACATAACTTCAGTAACTTTCAATACTGTGTTTTCAGAAACACTGACCCTTTCTCACATAGTTAGTTTCATCGCATATTATTATAAAAGTTGGTTATTTATTATAATAAAACACTTAAGAACTAGCTGTAGGTGAGGGTGGAATTTTTTGGCACATAGCCTTGGAAGCCTTGAAATCTTAAAAACTGCAACATTTTTGTGAGTAAACAGGAAGAAACTGGGAGGTTTTCACACTGCACAGTGACATTTCAAAGCAGCTGCAAACTGACTTTAACATGCATGGTTCAGGTTATTGAACTCTAATGAGAAAATCCCAAGTGATGCAGTTTTAAATACAATGACAATAAAATTAATAATTAATGTGTATAATATCTGTGTGGATAAACTTATAAATGTACTAAATATTAAAGAAAACAAAATTAAATACAAATAATAACAAAAAAATTGCTTGAATGTTTATATAAAAATCTACAAATGTCTACAGTTAAGACAATTCAGATATTAAATGAAATTTAGTATGAAAAATTTAATATGACAAAGATAAAAGGAGAAGTGATAAGGAAATATTATAATTCAGATGAAACAAAATTTAATAAGAAAAATTATTCTGAAAATCTTTAGAGGTGGAGGAATGGAATTTGCCTAATTTAAGTTTCATTCATTCAATAAATTTCATTTATTGCTGGAAAATATTTCCTTAACAAAGGCTAAAACTTTAAAAACAAGAAATTTGGTGACCTACCAGGAGACCAAGAGATGTGTTGAAAAACAGGAAGAGTTGGCAGCTATGCCTTAGAAATTATTATGCAGCAAGTGCACTGTAATGCATACAAATGACAGATGGCATCTGATTAGAAATTAAATAATTTAAAATCAAAAGGTCTAGTAGAGATTGTACTTTGTAAGGGAAACTGGGTCATACCTACTTAAAAAAAGAGAAAAACCTGAAAATACTTAGTTAATACCTGAAACTTGAAAATACATGAGTTTCTTCTTAAGTCTCCGGGAAATGGGCACAAGTCAAATAAGGAATGTTCGTGGACTGAGGCACACAAACATTTGTGATTCGTTTTGTTGAAATGATGAATAACTTCTTGAAATAAAGTAGTTATTAATAAAGTATCACAAAGATAAAAATGTGTTATTTAGAAACACATACACAGTAGACTCATAATTTCACGAACCTCTAGTTTAAAGCTATATATTTTCATGAATTACTCAGTTTGTCAAAAAAAAAGTTTCTGTCCTTTTAATATCATTCCTATTTATGAACGTTCATGAATACTTTTTGTGGTCCATATTTGTTTGCAAAATCAACAGGCTACTATATTATAGTCTGAATACTAATTCTTAAATACAAAATTTAATGATTTTGCATACTAATAACTTTATAGTACTTAACCCATTCAAGACCAACATCCCATAAGCGCGATGCAATGATTCCACTCTTACTAGCCCAACGTACCTTCTACATGAAGGGATCCAATCAATCTCTTCAGCCCAGCGTTGCATATGCATAATTTGAAAAATAAAACAATTTAACTGAATTTTTAAATGTCAGTGGATGGTGCTAAATGATAATGGTTTTCACATCGGTTGAGTCATATGGCTTTTGACCTTCATGCAAATAGGGAATCAGAGCTCTTTAAGTTAAAGGAACACTGGCATTTTTGTTTATTTTGTTAGGAATTTTGTTTCTATTCTTTGCTTTTTTCCTTATTGGAATGTAAGGAAGTAGTACATCCAGCTCAATGTTTTTATTTATGTTATTTGCTTTTTTTGTTACGAGAATGTGAGAAAACGCATCTAGCTGACTATAGCAGGTGTAACGTCGCCAAACTTCCATGACAGAAAAACACAGGCCAGTTATCCTTTTTCAGATTTATTTTAAACCATAAAATAGCCTATTTTATTTATATTATAAATAAAGCCTATGATAGGCTTTCTTGGTTAATTAAAAAGCTACATTACAGCTTTATTACACAAGGGGAAAGACATCAGCTTTCCTAAAATAAGATACGTCTTACTCACTCAACATTTCTCAGAAAAAAACTGTCCTTGTCCTGTGTGTCGATCCTCGTTTTGAATTATTCTACACACAGCAGGATTTTTTAATTGGAATTAACCTACAGATAAATTTAATTTTCTTTTAAATTTCATATTTGTAATTTTGTATTCATAAGTATAGTAATAGTTTTAGTAGTTTGCATGTTTCATTAATTTCTATTAATGTGATATTCTTTATATTCATATATATTAAGAATTAGTATACTGAATACGTAACTTAAAAAATTGAGCTCATTATATTAAAATGCTGATTTTATATGGTTTATTTATTGTGTGTGTATGTTGTAAAATTAGGCTTAACTGTTGAAAATGTGTGGGCCAGTGGTGACGTTCCATTTTCGGGGGTTCAGTCTCCCATGACTGCGCTTTGTTCTCCGCATGCTGGTCTTCAAGAAGTTAATTTCTGATAAGGGAAAGAACAGTCATTCATACTATGTATAAACACTTAGTTATTACATACTACTTATAAGCACTGACTTAAACAGTTATTACCTCTGGACAAACACTTCTACGAATTTGCATATTTGAGACAATACATAACATGAATTTTGATTATGGTCTGCCCATTTTGGTAAGTCTTCTAAATAATGGGGGAAATTAATACAAACTAAACTATTTATCATTCCATCTTACAACAAGTAAACTAGAATTAAATATGATTTCATATTACCTTATTTATCACTTTCTACAGAGACAGTAGGTCATATAGGGTATCAGAAAAAATATAGTGGGATTTGGCTGGAATACAGTTAATGGGAATTTATTGCATTCAACACTATCTATGGTGAACTAACAGATGCTTTGGTAGTAATATATAAACTATACAAATGATACAGACATAAGTTATTTTAGTAAGTTTCAAAATCTGTAACACAGGCAGCAAGACAAAAAAAAAAAAAATAAATAAAATAAAAAAAATAAAACGAATAATAATAATAATAATATAAATAAATAAAAAAATAATAAAAATTGGTGCTCAATTCAGAAACAGAACCTATTTAAAACTAACATAGGCTGTGGCAATGCATATTTTGAGATAACCGACATGATTACTTTTATCACTGTAAGCCATATTCTTTACATGACTACCAAAAGAACAGAGTTCACCAACAGAGCTCACAAATTTTTATGCCACAGCCGAACGCTATATTGGTCACCCCAAAACAACTGTTGTTGACATGGTGGATAATACCTATCTTTCTTTGGCAATGCTCTTAATGACCCCATTACCTTTCTCTTAGCACCTTAATTTGCCAGGCACGATACTTTGATACAGAAGCTCACATAGCCTTGCAAGTAAAACCCATTTTGAGGCCTTGAGCATGGCTAAGAGATCCTTGTCTATTGACATGTGAGTCGCTGTTAGGTTGGGAGGTGAAACATGAATGCCTGTTCGGCACTTCTGTAAAGCAGTTGGTTGGTAGGCATGACTGCATGAGCATGTGGTCAAAGCTGCTGCAACAGATTTGTTTCATCTGTGCAAAAAAGTGGCAGCAAAGCAGCCACTCACAACCAATGCAGCAATGCTTGCTTGTTATTGATGCCAATAACTGTTTTAAACCTTGTCAATCTCATAGTGCCATCTATAATTGTTGTTGTCAACCAACTGCTACTGGGTCAATTTTTAGTTAGAATAGTATGGCAATGTTTGCCAATAGAGGGCATCTGTGAAATTCATGTCCATATGGGCTGATGCTGCTTGACTAAGGTCAGAACTAGTAAGCCTTTGTACTGCAGTCTGGATGTTACTCTAGTCAAGCCAAAAACAGCTGCCTTTGATACAAGTCATAATAGCAATGTCTTTCTTCGGCAGCATTCACTGAGCCCCCCAACAAAAGTAATATACATCTATCATATGGCATATAACACTCTCGGTAGAGGTCCAGCATCAAACAACTTCCAAAACTGTTTATAATACACTTTCAGTGACTCCCATGTCATTTGTAATACCTTAATAAACATCACTCCTTTTTTTAAAAAACCTGGCATCGAGGGTATTTGCCCATTTTTAGAAAGATTTCAGGGCCATTTAATTAATGTTAAAATTTTTTTTTAAATGTAAAGATTTTTTTAAATATTCAATCTGATAGCCTTTTTTCTGAACTATAAGTCTGTATTGCATAAAAGAAGGACTTTTCATAAAATTTTCCAAGGCTATTGATTTTTATTTCTCTTCCACTACTTTCCAGAGTCCATCAAACATGATGGGTTTGCACTTAAACAGAATGCTTTTCAAAAGACCAAAGGCACAATAGTCCATAGGTGAAATGTCAGGGAATTTTGTAGGAATACGCTGAAAATATATATATGAAATACGTGTATCAATTTTCATTTTATCAAGGAATGCTGTGGTACTTTTCGAAGTATGGCTCGTTGCTTTCTTTTGAAGTTTTATACTTTGAAAGTCATTGGAATAACAAAATGGAAGTTCTTCTGTAAATATTAGACGTAAAACTTTCTCTTGATAGTATATAGAGTTGATTTAATTTAATTTCCCCCCCCCCACATTCTTTGTTTTTTTTTTAATTTTCCAATGTAAGAAAATCCTGCAACAATCATAAACCTCTAACTGAAACTTTCTTAGGATTGACAAAACTAGTTTTGTCAGTTTTTTCTCTTTGTTTTCAATAATTAAATAGACCTTTCTTTGTTGCAATTATTTAGGTAAATATATGCTTCATCAAAGGTCACAATGTATTTCCATGTACCTTTTATTATATGGTTTTCATACAGGGTTCTATAAAATGTTGTGCATTGAGCCATAAGCCTCGGCAAAAGCTAATGAACATTAAGTTTTTTAGCTTTTTTAAGTTGCAAATCTTGGTTTATTTCTTTATTTATTGTTGCTACAGATGTATTTTTGAAGACTTTTGATTTCTGCGATGGTAGATTTTTTCCGCATTACCAATGATTTAACTTTAGAAACATTAAGTACCTTTTCCGGCTATTCATATGGAGTCTTCTTTTCATGTAGAAGTAATGACTGATTGTTCTCTTTCCGATTAATAATTTTGCTTATTTTATGCTTAGACATTCCACCATGCATTTCACAATGTTTTTGAATTATGTGATACTTCTCTTCAGAAAATGCAAAAACATATCCTTCAAACCCCAGCTTGTGATATTTTGAAAGCAGAAGATGATATTTTTAATTTAGAAGTCAAGCAACAAAAATCAGCGTTATATTTTCAAATTTTCACAGGACTGGTTTCGATGGTTTTACCGAACCATCATCCTCAGCTGCAAAAGCGCAAATGAACGAGATAAATATATGATTATTTATCTCAATATCTTGATTTATTTATCTCGTTCATTTGTGCTTTTGCAGCTGAGGATGATGGTTCAGTAAAACCATCGACACTATCCTTGAAAATTTGAAAATATAATGTGATTTTTGTTGTTTAATTTATTAATTTTGTTCGGTATCCTAACGATTTTTTAATTCAAATAATCTATTGCCGATATTTTTATTTCAAAACATTTGCCTTTTTAAAAATTTTTAATCATAATCATTCTAAAAATTTGTAAACATGCTCTGTATTACAAATTTTTGGTGTTTATATCCCACACTTTCAAATAATAAGCTATTGCCAGATATTTTTATTTCAAAACATTTGCCTTTTTAAAAATTTTTAATCATAATCATTCTAAAAATTTGTAAACATGCTCTGTATTACAAATTTTTGGTGTTTATATCCCACACTATAATAAGAGACTGATGAAATATAAAACTCGGGTTAAAAAACAATTTCCAAATCTGGAATGTTATCCATCAGATCCAAATAACAAATCTCGAAATATTCAATGGTATGAAAGTACAAATTAATTTCTTAAGAAAACCTAATATAATCAGTTAATTTTATTTATGAAGGAAAAGCTTAATACCTGTTTTTACATGCTTTATTACCTTATATAATGAAACTTTTCATAATCATTTTCATTTTGAAAATGGCATTATAAGTTGTAATATTTAGCCTGCTAAAATATATTACACTTCTATACAAGTTCTCAAACTGTCTAAAAACTCAAATGCTTGCAGTCAACAAGCGAGAATGCAATTGGCAACAGTAACCTGTAAGTGCTTATTTACATACGATTTCTATTCAAATTTAACACAAGAACAGATGAACTATATAACTTTGATTACAGGCCATGATTTGCATTTACAAACAACAACACTGCAACTTAAAAAATGAAATTAGTAACATGAATTAGGATGGTTCTGCTGCCTCATACATGGATTGCATTTACAAACAACAACACTGCAACTTAAAAAATGAAATTAGTAACATGAATTAGGATGGTTCTGCTGCCTCATACATGGAAAGTACTAACTGCCATTTGCAAATATATCATGCCGTTTTATGATTTACCCTTGTACCTCTTCAAATTTTATTGCGTTTCTGCAGCAAAATTTTTACACATCTTTATGTAGCCCTTTAACACAAAATCATATCTGTGTAATCCTGATAATGTAAGAATACTATATAAATCACACTTCTTGATTTCTGGTAAGAGAGAATATGTAATGTGGTAGATAAATGTGGTCTATAGAACTGCACTCCCTAAATTTTCCCACTAAATATCACCGCAAAATATACTTTCTGTGCATGTTTCCTACACTTCTTTTTATTATATATTCTTAGGAAAAAATTATATCCAGAAATTTTTCACATGGAAAATACAAGGCAAGATACATTAGATATGACAACCACAAAATGCAAAACGAAGACAGTTGTCCAAGAAGGATAAATAATTAGACAATAGCTCTTGTAAGCCTAGCTTCAATCTTACCACCAGTCACTGATATTTCAGATAACAAACCCAACAAAGATGGAATTTAAAGGTTTTTATACAAAGTGGACTTTTAGAAGTATCCACAGGCTGACTTGTCAGAGTAAAATATAATGGTTGAATTTTAAAATGATGGATCATGTACAGATGGAAACTGATATCACAGGTAATAAGAGAACCTATCACTGCTAAGCACAAACTGAAGTTAACTGAGTGAACCTCATGAACTGAATTGAAGTGAGAACTAAAATAAAACCACAGAGACTTAGAGTCAGAAAGAGAACGAAGGGGAAGCAGCCACGATTGCTCCTTTCGCGGTTGAAACGTAGAGAAGCAGCCATGATTGCTGCCTACGTGTTTGTAATTTTATATGTTCCTATCATATAAGTTCTTTTGTAATGACTAATAAAGTAAGTTTGTTTTGTGAGATGAAGCCTCCCATTTTTCGACTGGACTACTTCCCATTTTTTGATGAGTTTATGGTACGTGGTTTATGGAGTCTGAAATCTGAGCCAGTGCTGCACAGAAATATATTATTTGATTTTCTGTCTTTAATGAAGAGGCGATGAGACTTGGAGGATAACACACAAGTCGCCATTACACTTTCCCTGGTTCGTTTACATGGAACGTACATGGTGGAACACATTTTTTAGCTTTCTCATTAAATTTGTGATGATACCAGCAAAGACACGACTACCCTTTGCTAAACATAACTTTATTCACACGCACCATATTTTTAACACAACTATCATAACATAACAGAAAACTCCTACACAAAAATTTGTACATCTTACGCTCAAGCTAAAGGTGAAGTGGACGAGTTCACCAACGCGCTGGTAGTTTTTACATACACAAAATGACACAGTCTGGGGGCGAACGCAGCTGAATATCATACTACCACAAGTTCTTCAAGCCAGCCACTACGAAGAAGACAAAAGGGTAAGTTTACTTTTCAACATATATTTATTGATCTAAAATATTTAAAGGCATCCCTGGGTAGGTAGGCTTGAAGGATTTATTCATTGTATTATTGTATGATTATTTATAAGCTCTAAAAATGGAGGGTCTAAAGAAACTATGTACTCCTTTAAGAAGTGTTTTTAAATGAATATCTAATAAATTAGAAGACTGTTTATAAAAAGAAGTATGTGATACAGAAGAAATTGAAGTTTTAATGACACAGTTAGACAAAAAATGGTCGGAGCTTGATTTGGTAGAAAAAGAAATTATAAAATTGTTACCCGATGATCCTAAATGTTCTAAAAGTGATTTTTCTAAAGAATACGAGGGTAGTACAATATATAGCAAAAAATATGTGCGGCTTAGAACTAAGGTACGAAGAATAACGAGTAATACTAATTTGGGGAATAACAGCTACTTAATGCTACAGTTCAAAACTGGAAGTTTAAACTACCAAAAATCAAATTTCAGACATTCAGTAATGATGATAAGGAATAGTTGGGCTTCTGGGGTCAATTTAAGAAATTTCATGATGATCCAGCAATTCCATCTGAAAATAAATTTCAATATTTATTTCAAGCCACTGTTGAAGGTTCGCATACAAGAGATATCGTTGATTCTTGCCCCCGTCGCTGACAATCATTACCAAGTAATTGGATGACTTAAAGCTCGATTCAGCAGAGAGGATCTCCTCGTAAAAGTATATGTAACAGAATTGTCGAGTTTAATTTTGAATAATTCATTGAAACAAAGCAATATGACTCGCAAAGCTGCAAGATAAAATTGAAACTCATTTGAGAGCACTCGAGACATTAAATGTCACGTCTGACAAATACACTTGTATGTTATACCCTTCCGTTGAATCTCGTTTGCCGAAAGATGTTATTAGAGTATGGGAAAGAAGCGTAGGTTTATATGTAACAAGTAAATCATGAAATAAACTTACTGCTTTAATGAACTTTCTAAAATCCAAAGTAGAGGGTGAAGAGAGAATATCGCTGGCAAAGCAAGATTTTGGTTTTGAAAGTAAGGTAAAACATTCTACCTTCCCACTGTCTGCCAATGAAACGCAAAAGATGTCAAGAGATGTTCTTCAAACCACCCACCATGAAGAAGACAAAAGAGCAAGTTTACCTTTCGACATATTTTATTGACCTTCTAAAAAGAACAGAGTAAAAAAAAAAAAAAAAATGCTGAGAATGGTTTTGATTATGATTTGAACTGGCACAATGGTGAAAATGAATTATACATGCAAAAAATTATTATTTATTACAGCAAAGGGCGAAATTTATTAATCCATTTAATGGTTTCTGTAGAATTCAAATTATCTTTTCTTTCTTAAAAAAAAAAACATTTTTAAACTTTTTTTAACATGTTTCTGCATTTTTAAAAATTCTTACGATTTTTTTCAATTAAGGTACTCTGTTAAAACACATAAGCTTTAAAAAATTCAAAAAAAAGAAAACAAAAATGGGCAAAATATGCAAACAAATATGTTACTCAAGCATTTAACTACTCACTTGCTCAGCTGGTCATCTGTTAACTTAAAAGTCTAATAAGCAAAATATTCTGAATTTCTCAAAATTCACTGTGAACACTTAAGCAAGTTGCACTACGTTAAATTTAATATTAATGTCGTACAACTTAACATAGTGCCAATTTAATTAAGTTGCCTAAGTTAGCTGCTATGCATTGACAATTTTCTCATCCTAACCACCTCTGCATAAACTTCTACAGCAAGTGATTACATACATATTAAAAATCAACTAACAGAAACTTAAAAAACTACCTGCTTTTTTTAATAAACATCTAAATATTACCTTTTTAAGTTTTTTATTAATACAGCAAATTTAAATTTTCATTACACTGTAATCCTATGCGCAACTTTAAAGAATTTACTCGAATCTTCATTCATAGCTACAATATGCTTTTTAATGAAGTCAAAATTAATATATTAAAAATGGTCACATACCGGAAAAGACTTCAACATCTCAGCAGTTGATTCTTTAACTTCTTTTATAGGCAAAATATGACCGATATGGGGACTAACAATATTCCTCAAAAAGTCAAACTTCCAATAGAATTCAAAAAATGAAAATAACAGTTGACCTAAATAAAAACAGAATTTTCATTATGAGGGGGGAACTTTTCCTGAATGTTAATACAGTACACCTCTGAATAATGGACATCTCTATTTAAGGAACAATTCTGTTGGTCCTGGTCCCTTTGAATAGGGACTTTTAAAGTATTTACCCTTACTAAAAGATACTCTACTTAAGTGACAGTGAAAAAAAAAGTTTCAAAAATAAGATAGTGGTAGAGAAATAAATAAAATTAGAAAAACTGTTTTGTTAGTAATATTTTGGGGTTTCAAAAGCAAGTTTGTGCTTAGTGAAAGACAGTTTCGTAACAAGGGAACAATAAAATGAAATGTTTATGCCTCTTTTAAAAACTGCTTTTCAGTAGGGAAAAGGGAAACTATGCCTCTCTTTAGAAAACTGCTTTTCAATAGGGAAAAGCAGAACAATACATTGGAAAAAAGCAACTTGTGGTGCAATCAAAAAGATATTTCACATTCATAGAATTCAAAAATCCAGTTATTCTTGTTATTTATTAGCAGGAAGAAAACAGAATTTAGCAAGTTGTAAGGCAATCCAATATAGAAAGACCAATAGGGAGGAAAACATAGTGAGATGCCTGGATCATCTTTCAAGGTACATGGATCTCACAATGTGGATGAGTGAAAATTTTGATTATTCTTAATTTTTGCTAGGACCGGGCAGGAAAAGAAGTGCAGTTTTGTACTTGTGTGTTATTTTTAAATACATTATCTAACATGGCTTCATAGAGAAAAAGAGTAACATTAAAACAAATTATGTAGCAGAAATTGAAAAGCATAGTTTGAGAGGTTTAGGGTAGAAATTTGAAATAAGTAAAAACCAAGTAAGTCATGTGCTAAAGCAGGGATGTCAAACTCATAGGTACACTTGAGCCAAATAAACAGTTTAACTCAGCGGGCCGCCAAAAAAAAAAAAAAAAAAAAACAATATTCATAGAACTTAGATTTATTTCGAATAATACATATAATAATATAAATAATATCTTTATATAGAAAAGAACAAGAAAAATTTAATGTAGTCCTGATACTTGACATCTCTCTCTGCTATTATCTTTCCTATTTCGGGAGAAATTTTGTTTCAGTGATAACTTTCAACGCTGAACCAAGGTGCATCATTAATACGGTTCTAATAGGAGACTTATTCCTTTCATGACTGAAAATAACTACTCTCGCACCGATAATGCTACCAAACATGGAATAATTTCATATGCGAATTTTCGAGTATTTTCAACCTGGCTGGTGAATATTTGTAAATTCAGGCACGCCCACTTCAATAATTTGCTTTCCAAATTTAGTTGCATTGAATCTCATCAGCTCCATTTGCATATGGCGGGTACTTAGTCAATACTTATTGAGAAAATCGAAGAAAACAAAAAAAATTTGTCTTCGAGGACTAAAATCATTAAACCTCGTTTCAAATTCAGTTGTTAAATTTGCAATTTTTTTTTTTCTGTGTATTTTTATACGAACAAGTACATCTAACTTGATTGTTCATGCTGCACGTCGGGAAGTGCGTCAAATCTTCATTTTTAAGTTCTTTTTCCCGAAGAACTAGTTGACATTTGAATGCTTTAATTTATGTCAAACATGTTCGTAATGATATGATCTTCTCCTTGTAACGATAAATTTAAATCGTTAAGTGTTTTGTTATATCAACCAAGAAAGATAAATCTTGTATCCGAATTGGATCGTAAAACAAACTTACGTCTTGATTTTTCGTTTTTAAAAACTGGTATATTTCTTCTTTCAAATCCTGGAATTGTGTGAGAATCTTGGAGCAAGATAACCAACATACATCGGTATAGTAGGACAAACCCGAATATTCACTATCTAACTCACTTAAGAAAGCAGTGAATTGACGCTGATTAACCGGATCTTTAAAAATTTATAACTTTTTTTATATGACAAACTTCTCCCATATTTAATTACTTTTTGTGCATAGAACTCTGATGTATATACAATGCATATGATAATGTTTTGACCGGAATTTTCACTAAGCTTTTTGTTCTTAGTATGCTACGAGGCCCTTGTTTTCGCGGTCTTGATGGAGCGCCATCTGTAGCTACAGAATTAATTTTGCCAGAGTAGATTGTATTTCTGGCAGAATCCCAAAACACAATAAATAATATCTTCTCCTGTGGTAGTACCAGGCATCGGTTGTTACAGTAATCCTCAAAAATTTAAAATTCTTGTCACAAAAACGAAGAAACACTGCTAATTGACTTGCCACTAATGTCCGTGCCTCTCGTTCAGCAATGGAGAAACTTCGAAACTAGATGATTTTGCTTGATCTATCATTAAATTCCCGCGGCTTCAGTAACTCTTTCCGCAACTGTTATTTCAAGAGAATTGATTGAAAAGCTTCACATTTCCAGGACCAAACAATTCCCAGCTTTCATTAGCTTCCTTGAGAACCACCGTCAGTAAAGGCTCGAATGTTTAGCTATCAGCTCGGACCGACGTAGCTTGCATGTACCCCCGCTTCACTTTCTTTGCAATACTTTACTAACATGCTGTTGCTTTTTCACTCCTAACTTGAGCTCTTTCAACTTTTTCTTCTCATCATTAATCCTTCGTATTGTTAATTTCGAATTGTGTTTGTTCGTAATGACGTTTTAATATTATATAACTTTGGCACATTAATAGTATTATTACTTCAAGCATATTTTAATCTTTTATTTCCAGCAAAAATATTCTAATTCCCATTTTCTTGGAATATTCATGTTCATCACGATTTTTCGTTTAATTTACTACCACTTGGTTTTTTGATATAGACATACTGAATACAAAGGCTGTAATAAACACGGTACCATAAAAATTAACAAAAATTTATTCTTCCCAAGATAAATCAAATCTGAAATATTTCTCAAAAATATTCTAACATATCAAAAATGTCACTTTAGCAAAAATCATTCAAAACAGAGAAACTAATTCTATCTACGTGAATCGCTACATCATCACACATTGTACAAACAGTTTCCTAGAACTACAATCTACTACTGAGATGAGTTGTTTGTTTCTCCTCTTTTATAACTTTATAATTAATTTCTCGAAAATACTGGAAACATCTAAAAATATCTGGATTTTTGGATGGCACAGCAATTTATGGATATTTTATTTATTAGGTATTAAATGCACGCGCGTTATTTTAACCTTCCAATGCCGCTGTTTTTCAAAAATCGTCTGCTTTGCTAGGCAACATGAACAAATCTAATTAACTTCTAAATTAAAAAACTAACTAATAAAGAACTATGAAATCCGTAACAATTAAATTATTAATAATTAATAATAAAGCAATATATCATACAAAACTATGATTAGAAACTGAGACCAGATTTGCGCCACATTCGGCTATCGGGGTGCGTACAAGTTCCGAGTGCAACGTGTCACCCAAAAGCCAAAGGTAGCTGAATGCAGCTACTCACCCATTTGTAATTAATTTAAGTGTGTGTCAGCTCGCTTGTGTAATCTAACACCCTGAATAAATTAATCATTAATTACTTAGCATAAAAACATTTTTTTTTTTGTCGATATGTTATTTTATTATTAATATTATTATTTGCCGATATATTGGTCGGGCCACAAAAATATTTGTTGTGGGCCGCGAGTTTGACATCCTTGTGCTAAAGGATAGAGAAGAAATAAAAATATTATGGATTACTAATTCAAATGAACATTCCAAGACTATAAAATTTAGAAAAACCGAAGCATGTGAAATTGATACATTAGTGTTCAAATGGTTTTGCTCTGTAAGAGCAAACAATATTCCTGTAAGTTGAGTATTATTGAAAGTAAAGTCAAAAGAAGTTTCAAAAAGTCTGGGACTACAGAACTTTAAGGTTAAACAAATTTAAGCAGACATATCATTACTTTCAAGAACATTTGTAATGAAGAAAAATCTATAGATATGCAATAAGTAATAACCTGGATAAGAAAGCATTAAATAAAATTTGTTAAGGATATGAGACTACAAATATCTACATTGCAGATGAAACCATTATGGATGGATAATTTTATCGTATTTTGTTTAGTAAAACTCTATGCTTTAAAGGAGAAAATTTCTCTGGTGATAAAAGCTTCAAGGAATGTCTCACGGGGCTACTTTGTTGTAACATGAAAGAAGAGTTAGAGCAACTACTTATAACTGGAAAAGATAAAAAAACATATAGATGCTTTAAACACATAAATCCAAGAGTTTTATCAGCCACTGACATCAGAATAAAAAGTCATGGATGAAGCAAAGCATAACATCAGAATTGTTGATTGTTCTTAATGAAACAGAATTGTTGATTGTTCTTAATAAAACAATGTCTAGAAAAAATACAAAGATTCTATTTCTTGACAATTTGCCAGCTCAACCAAATATAAAGCAGAAATCAGTGAAATTAGTAATTTTCCCACCTAAGGCAACATGAGCATTACAGCCTTTGGACCAAAGTATAATTAGAAACTTTAAGGTTCATTACAAAAAACTGTTTTTATGGCATGATCTTTTGTCAAGCTACTTGTGGAAAAAATGATCAGTTTGCAAAATGTGTCAAAGTACTGAATGCCATTCAGTGGATAACAAAGACTTTAAATCTGTATCACAAAGTTGTGTTCAGCACTTTTTAAGAAAATCCCACTTTCAAGTGCCCTTGGGGAAAATACTACTGATAAAAATGAAATGTTTGAACTTTTGATCGATGACATGAAAGCTTTTACTTCAATGATGTGAGTTTTAACAAAAATAGCTTGGAAAGCAGTGAAGAAGAGGGAAAACAGCCAGACCAAAAAGTATGACATATAACATAAAATACCTCCTAATAAAAAAAATTCATGATAACTGTTGGTGAGAGTGAAGAACTTAAGATCATCAGTGACTTTAATATCCACATGGAAAAAAATACTTGCAATGCAGACTTTCAAACTGGCATAATGGATTATTTTCAATAAATTTCTATAAATACAAAACTTTATTGTTCATTTCATATTTAGGTTACACAGAAATGAATGACACAAATGCTGCCACAGAGCGGAATACAATGTATTAACAAAAAACTGATAGTACATCCATTAGAAATAATCCCCGCCCATGTCAATACACTTCTGCCATCTGGCTGGAAGTCACAAAGGGCTTTGGTAAACCAGTCTGTGGGAGATGTTGTGCAACATCTATGGACAACTGCGTGCAATTCGGCAGAAGATTCAAAATGTTGATCCCTGACTGTGACCTTCATCTTGTCAAGCAAGGCGTAGTCCAAGGGACACCCATTTTGCACACACATTTGTCCCCTCCAAATCACCATGCACAACCTACAATGTTTCCTTGTGCAGCCCCTGTCGCTTCCGCTCTTGTGAATGCATGTTCCTGTTTGTCAATCAAACCGACACAAGGCTCTGCCACATTTGCTGCTGTATGTGATGCTGCTGGTCATCCCGCACTGACAACCTTTGGCTGTGGTCTCCACTCCACTCCACTGTTGAACTTGGCCAACCAACGGGATACGGTATGACTTAAGGGTGCTTTGTTTCCGCACACCGAAACCATGCAACGATGGATCTCACTACCCTGTATCCTTTCCTTCCATAAGAACCACGCTCTCCAATGCTGACCATGATAATCACCTTCCATCATTGCTGCCCACGCTCTCAATGATGCTGACGAAAGGGACGGACACTGACTTATACCCTTCACTTACGGCCAACTCAGTCTTTGCATTCTGAGTAGCTCACGGCCCCCTTGTGTCTATTTCACTTGTTTTCCCTTCACATAGTGTAATAGTTTCGTTGTGAAAGCCATTGTGTCAATCATTTCTGTACGATTCAAGTACATTTTTGCATTCATTTTTCATTAACTTCAAATTCATATAAATACCCATGAATGTTATTTATTTATAGATTGAAAGAACCAGAATTTCTAACTAAATTTAATTTTTTAGTTTGCATCCTCTGAAGAAGGGACACCTCTATTTAAGAGATAAAATGTCTGATCCAGTGAGTTGCCCTTATTGGGAGGTACTACTGTACAATAGACTCTAATTGACAAATTACTCTATTTTATATTTATTAATTATTATTTATTATAGTATTATCTTTAAAATTAAAGCTAATAATTTTAAAAATTAAGAAAAAAATTTACCTAGTTCCATTCTGTTTCTAGATTTGGGTATTTTTTCCAGATTTGTAGTAAATGCACATTCCCATCCTCCAATTTTATGAGAAAATTCTGTAAATATAAATTATTTTAAAGTAATTAAGTAATAAATTTTATGTCTTAATAAAAACTACATAAATACAATCAATGGTGCTTCATGTACAGTAAAAGGGCGATTATCTAGCATTCAAGTAAATGGAAAATTCAAGTAAAGAGAATATTTTAGAATTTTCTTTCGCATGAAAAATTAAACTAAAGGCTAGTAAAAGTATCATAAAACATGTATTACTTAGAATTCTGTTTGTAGCATTTAAAATGATAATACAATTGCATGGCTCTTTTTCACAGAATTTTGCTTATTCTCCAGAGTTGTTTCTATCATACTATTCCAATAATTCATCCTTGGAAATGAAAACTCGTCATAGATGTCTTTCCCATCATACCACTTTTGACAAATAAATACTGTTGCCACACCATGTGATTTAGTGCCAATAATGAAGAAGCGTGATATCACAAACAATCAGAAGATCTTCACCAATGGTTTTATGTAAACATGATTAATTTTCTATAAATGGATTTAGTTTTTGCAAAGAAGGACATACATTAACTGCTTATTTGTCTGTCTTTCCCTGGCACGTTTCTTTAAATAATTAAAATTTGAGATCTGCTTTATATGGACTAACATTAAGTGGAGTATTTCCAAAGCTAAGATCCTGGCATCATGAAAGACTGTGTTAATAGACTGTAACAACATTATAACTGCCTTTTATAACTGCGGCCAATGAAAGTAAGGAATGGAAGAAGAGGGAGAGAGAAATGGGGGATAGTTCCTCAGAAAGGATGTGAGCATGGGAGAAATAAGCAGTATCATTCTAGTAGCCATATTAACTGATGAATACTTTAATTGTAAATAATATGTAAGTAAATGTATATGTTTAGAAGAGGGCCTGATATGGGACTTAACTGAAAAGGGATAAACAATGATGATGCAACATGAAAAATTACGGTAAGTGGTTTTATTTTTTAATATGCTATATCTGTAACTTGTATATGTTGATCAAAGTAGATAAAAAGGATTCATTTTTAATAATAAGACATTTTTGTAATAAGTTAAGATATTTTATTTTTATGTTTCAATCCTATGAAAATACATCAATATTTACATCTGAAATACAGTTATTCAAAATCTTATATAATTTTAAATGTAAGTTTTTAATAACAAATAAAGCAGCTGTTTTTATAATTTTAGACAGAAAATTTCTTCTTTCATTCATTTGGTTTTTCTACTGTGAACCGCACTTTTTAGACACTATACTATTTGAAATTTTAACACAATTCCTGAACTTTCCGGATAGTTGATCTTTTACTGTGGTTATTAAAACAGTTGCTAAACACAAAAAAAATGCATCAGTTCATATATTACAGATGACTAGTTTTCTAATGAATTAAATAAAAGAATGCATGAGACTTGTTATGGTATGAACTGCATGGGAATGAGAATGTGAGAATTCAAAAGCACAGAATAAGTACAACTCTGAACTTGTATATACACTTTGAGACGTTGTGATAAAATTGAATGAAATTAAAACATAAATAATATTAAATTAAGATTAAAGGAAAGTGGATCAATTATTTATTGTTTTACTTTACAACAAAATTCAAACTTTGTATAACAATGAGCAGTAAAGTTAACAAAATAAACCAACTCATGAAATTAATAAAAAATTTCAACGTGTATGCAATGTTTTGGATAAAGACACTGTTGTACTTTAATTCTAATGTCTAAAACATAATATTAAATTGTGCCAAATTTAATGCTAAAGAATGAAATGCCACCTAATATGATAAGTGCACCACAACACAGGCAGGGAAACATTTAGCTGCTCTTTCACATTGTGGGAGGGCTGGGGAGGTAGAGCTCCTAAACTTTTTTCTTGCATGATCAGCTCAGTGCATTCAAGCCACACATAGTTTTTTCTCCTCTTCTTTTCTAATAAAAGATGCTTGCTGATACAACCACTTGTAATGACAGTCATTTTATTAATATAACTAAAAAATCCTGGACTGAAAGTAAATTAAATCTACTTTTGCTACACTGACCACTCATTATAATAGCTTTTGAAAAGCTCTTATAAAGAGTGATGGTTGCAATACACTGTGTTACTTCATATTTATGCCACTTTTAATTGAAAACTCCACATAAAGAAAGCTGAAGAACCCCACATAAAGAACTCCATTTGAATTTAGGAATTTAAAGCAAAAAAAGTCTGCAGAGGAAGCAATATCTTTTGAAATAACACCAAATATTTGGCAGTGTGACTGGATACACATACACAATACGCAAATTTTGAAAGTTGGAAAGATAAGATTACTTTAAATGTCAATCTATCAGTCCCAGATTATTTTAAATATCAATCCGTGAGCAGATCGCCTTCCCTTTTTCTTTTGGACAGAAAGGGCTCGGGTTTTTATCTTTTGTTATTAAAATCGCTATTCTTTCTATGTGCATGGAATTTTTTAAATGGCTAGAATTTCTTAGATAACAAACTTAAAAACTGCATGAAACTCTCTCTGCTGCCTTTTTTTAAAAATAACATATATCTCAAAATATGCTTATTAAATGCTAAAAAATTACTGTTGTTGAAAATTCTGCAAAACCTGACACTGAAATTGGGTTAGAGCCCAAAGTCCCATTATAGAGCAATAAATTCGACCTCAATTGGACACTTTTCACTTTTTGCTTATCAGGGCAAAGAAAGTCAAAAGATTCAAAAGTATATAGATCATTCATTTTCTTTTTTAACATCAATGCTATTCATGCTGTAGTAAAGTAAAAATGTTTGGAGTAGATAATAATTTGGACACTAATCAGTCAATGCCTCTTTCATAAAGAACTAAAAGCCTTACTTTTAAACATTCCTCCGCTTTTAGTTCATTTCCGCTATCTTTCTTTTCCAGCAGGAACCTGAACACATCTTACAGGAATTTTTTCTAAGATGCTAAATACAGGAATTTCCTCTTAGATGTTAAAATGCTGGTATATCATGCTTTTCAAATTAAATTAGCCTTTGCAACATGCCTTTATTTGATTTATTCCGATTTTGTATGCATTATATTAAGACATTGTATCCGATTTTGTACGCATTATTTTGTTGTTTGACTTCTGAATTAGTATGCATTATATTGTTATTAAAAATACTTTATTTTTAGTCCAAAGGGCTATTAATTTCATTTTCGCATTTTGCATTGATTCACTATAAATGGCGAATCACTTTTAAATTGTTGAAACCAAATATTAAAGCCCTGTAAGTAAGTTTTTGGCTTCCCTGTTCCGGGAACTAAGCCCACTACAGTTCTACTCCCCCTTTGGGCACATCGTGGAGGTTCAACCTCCACTATTACCCTCCAGGAGCGCACCACCTGGATAAGACACCAGGCAGCACCGGTCGTCTAATGCTTCTACCAGTCGCTTGGGCGAGCCTGTCGTAGCGGGACATTACCCAGCGACCCCGGGGGAGACCCCCGGGTTACTAGAACCACGCCGCGCTAGGACGTGCCAGGCTCCGAGACCGGCCAATAAGTGACCTTTCCCAGAGCCTTCAGAACCACCAAGTTCATAAATTTTATACCCCCGTGGCCGAGACTGCCTAGGTACAGATCCTAGCCAGTACCTTCACAGAGTTCTCTACGTCGACCCCCAGGGCGGTATTAAAGCCCTGTATTACATTTAAAGAAATTAAATAATAATGAATTTGCATAAATTTATGTATGTTTCTTGCACTGTGATAAAATAACAGTACCTAGAGCCATCTAACTTTGAATAACATACATCTCCAACCGAAGATGGGCATCTGGAAGCCCAAATTTGGAATTTGCTTTATTATCTATTTCATATTTTATAAAGCATTTATGAGTTTTTCATTAAGAAACTCAATGATTTCAAAGCGAGGAATAGCAACACAGTACAGAAAAAAAATTTTTTTAATTTTTATCTCAAGCGCGCGAGACTGTGCATCAGAAATTCTAAAGATATGCTCTTTTAAATATTTTGTAATACTGTTGTTGAATTGAATTTTATGGTTTAAGTGTGAAGAACGTGGTACTTAATAAATAAAGGTAACTCATAAAACGTTAAAAAACACCCCTTTGGGCATAATATAAAATCTCAAAGCTATCTTTTTTACTTCCGTGTATGAAGTAAAAAGGAAGTATTGTAATTGCGAAAAGTTTCAGGCATCATACTTCAACGCAAATATACATTTTCACCGCTATCAAATGCAATTTAACGATGTGTTTGCGTGACATCTGTACGTAAGGACAGGATAAAGGAGTCTTCTTTCCCCCAAAAAATTGTAAAACTAATTTAAAATGAATTCTAAAAAGGATTTTTCGTGGTGTCTGTGCATGCGTATGTATCCGTTTAAATCAAAAACGGTAGCCTCAGAACTTGAAATTTTGTATATAGGACGCTATACATGTAGATGTGCACTCGTATTTTGGTTGCCATCGGCCACCCCAAAAGATAATATATATATATATATATATACAACACACCTGTTACTCTGCTCATGATCAGTTTCTTTATTTTATATGTTTGTAAATGTGCATTTTTTTTCTTAAAAAATGATTGAATTATTTTTCTTATCTTACGGTTATTTTTTTATGCCTTTAGTGAATCTCTATGCAATAGTTTTAGAATTATGAATACTTTAAAAGTGTTTCGGCCGCTACGCCTAATAATTTTTTCCATAGCGGCCATTGCTGTTTACATTTGAAACAGCAGAATAGCAGATTTTTGCGATCTAGAGAAACTAAGCTTTCGCATAACAAAGATAGCGCCTTTTTTATGCAATTAAATCATGCTTAATCCTTCTGGAATTTTTCGAGGAAATGTTTAAGATTTACTTCATATTTCAATAGACATCTTGAGTTAAGTATTTTACCTTGCCGCGAAGTGAGAACTGAATTAATTAAATAGAATACTGAATCGTCTGTGAAAACTGTTCCCCCCCTTTTTTTTTTTTTCTTTTCTTTCCTTTTTTTTTTTTTTTTTTTTTTTTTTTTTTTTTTTTTTTTGTTGTTGTTGTTATTGTTCTTTGCTTAATTTCTTTTATACGTCGTTTTAGATTTATTATAGTATTTGAATAGAACATGTTGCAACGATTAGATAATTCTTAAGATGATATAAATTTTGTGCATTCTGAGTTAAAAGTGTAGAGCTGTTAAGCGTACTTAGGGCCAGAGTGTCGCTATGGTAAACAAATATAGTGAATTTTAAAGAGTGCATTTATTCTACTGTGGTTTATGCGCTATCAAAGAAGTAGATTTAATTCAATCGAATAAGTTTAAATGAAATGCAAGAAAAAATGTGTAAAATTTAATATTCCATACAAGGAATTCGTGTGGTGCACACATCAGATTTTTTATTTTTATTTTATGATGTAAAAGTCATTTTCATTACCTATAGATTACAAAATAAACTGTAAATATTCAAGTAATTTAAATGAAGAAAAAAAATACCTAAATATGATATTTCACTAATAGCTCTAGAAAACACTACGACTCAATGTCTCTATTCAAATGAATTAATAGTATATAAGGACTATCTGATTAAGTGGAAAGCATGGCTTTATGGAGGAATCCCTGAAGGAAATCTGCTTCTTTTCATTGCTATTAAGAAAACCACCACTATGCATTATTAATAATGGATGCTTTCTGGCAAATAATAATGAAAATTTAATTTAAATTTTAAAAATGTATGCATTGAGAAAATTCAAATACAGTCACATATATTTTCCGTATATTAACTATCAAAAAGCTGAAAAAATTACTTAAAAAATAGTTATGCACAGATTTTGATTCAAAACATTTTTTAAATCATTTTTCAGATTTTCAGTTCCTGACATCAAATTACCTGCAATTTTCATTAAGTACTGAACAGATGGTAAAATAGCTGGCTGAACATTTTGCAGGAAAAATATGATTAAAAGATTTATGGCATAACTTGTAAATCCTCCTTGTTTAATGAAACCTAAAGATTTTGTCCAGCAGCGAATAGTCATTATTAAAGGTTTTACTCTAGCATCCATCTCTCCATATAATCTTAATAGTTCTGTATTGTAAACGACAAGTCTAGAAAGATATAAACACAAATTAGTTTCAACTCTGAGAAAGAATGTATACAAATAAAATTACTAAAACTTATTTAACATTTTGTAATGCAATAAAAATAGCTAAAGAGCTAATATATATATAGAATAGAATACATAAATATTTCTTTTTTATATATGGATGGTAACAGAATTGATTATCACAACTTTAAGAGGTAACAAAACAAGGCAAAAGTAATAATTTCCATAATATAGTGTGCAGTGTAATGTGAATATGCATACACAGTACTGAAGAAAAAAAAATTAAAACCATTTTAATAACTGATATTTACAAGAAATTATGTTTGATATTTACATGAACTATTCAAGTGAATAATCACCAACTGTAATAGTACATGCACATAATGATTATTAAGCGATTTTCATGTACATTGGAAGATGCACTGCATGTCATTTACTTCTGTAGTAGTATCATGAATCCTGGCAACAAGGTCTTTAGTAAAGTCAATTTATATCTTGTAAACAAGATCTGTTGTTGTTGTGATGCCTATAGTGTAGCTGCTGGTCATTCACTTGAAAAATTTTGCTATTATTAAACACTATTTCTTATAAATAACTTATTAATAATATAACTTTTCCTTCATGTCCTTCATACTTATTCTTTTCACATTCACACTTAACGTTCCACCACGCACTGTATTACAAAAATTATAAAATGGTAAACATTCTGTCACCCTTTAAAGTTGTGAACATCAATCCTGTTAAATCCTGTATTTAGTTTTAAATACAAATATAATACAAGTGATATAATAAAATGAAAATCAAATTAAATTAAATAAATTTTTTAGCATCTGTAAATTTAATTACCTGAGTTTAGTTTGTTTTGGTTTAGTTCATTATGGCAAAGCACAACAGGGCTATCTGCCAATTTTTAATTATTTAATAACTAGGAATGTAAACCAACAAACAAATTTCTATCAGTGCAAAAGCAAATTTCAAATACCTTTCTTTCCAAAAAACACAAAATATATAGTCTTTACTTGTGTATTTTCTCTTAACGTTTTAGGACAACATTTTGATTTTTTTGTTTGTTAATATTCATGAAGTTTTCCCCTTTCTTTTTTCTTTTTTTAGAAAATGAGCCTCTCTAAATTTTAAAATTGTTTCATCCATGTAGGGGTTGTTTTGATCTTACTAACTGATTTGCTCATAGATTTTGTGCGCATGGGCTTGGATTGAAGACACAATAATAATGAAGAACTTCAAGAAAACAAGGATATCTAATGCTGAAAGACTAATGCTTGGTGGTTCTGAAGATCACTGCATGAAGAAAGAGAGAATGAAAAGCAACAATGATCATGAGTTATAAATACAGCAGACGACACTGACAACAGTTCCAGCAGCACTGAACGACAGGAGGCTTGCAGAGTGGCAGTGAACAATAATGACTGCAGATGAGATTAAAGATACAGGGAAGCAGAAATGAAGCTACCTTATTGAATATCATAATACTAACATATATTCTTATTGGAATTTAGGTTTCATTTAAACAAACATTATTATGATGATTGCCGGTACTTTTAATTTCTTATATTTGTACCGCTACTTCACGCTTCAGAAATTAAATTATTCACATTAAATTAGCCCATCTAAATTTGCATATAATAAAATTAGTAAAAATAGTGAGAAAATACAATGCATTAATATAGAAGACTATGGGGAATTTTTGGACCATTATAGGAATTTCATTCTCTTTTAACAAAAGTATCTTAAGATACACACTGACCATCACTATCAATGACTGCTTCCCAGATTTTGGTAACTGATTAATGCCAGTATGATGGTACTGTTTTAGCTGTGATGAAGAATAATTACACACATCCTAATCTTGAGTATGTCTTTTCCACCAGGATGCTTGGAAAATGCAGAATAAGTGATGATTTGAAGGCATCAGTATGGAAAATATATTTATTGAGCATGACAAAATTTCCCAACTAATGTCAAGCAACTTCTACAAATCCCTTGTTTCAAATGAGTAAGTGCCCTTGTTTCAAATGAGTAAGTGCTGTTATGAAGCAAAGAATGTTTTAATGTCAGTGATGGTAATATTGACTTGCTTCATTATACTCTTTCAATTTTGTTATCTCAAAACAATTGGTAATGATATTTGCATGTGATGAATACAATGAACATCCTACCCAACTAATTTTGCAGGTATAATACGGCTTAAGGTTTTCTGAAGCAGCATATTTATTTATCCATCAGTGATATTTCAAATACCAATATGTGATGCTCACATAAAGCATTTATTTTTAACCCCAATTATTAAAAATGATATATTGTTGCAGTGGTACAAAATATGTTTTTCTCATATTGTTGATAACTCAAATATTCATGGATGATTTACAAACCAATTTTGGTAATTTGCCAAGTAGATGGCAAAATATACTTAAATGGTTAATATCTATTTCTGCTCTCATTTTTGAAGTAGTTAAGTATACATATGATTCCACTTGCTGTTACAATGCTTCATTATTGACTTGTATCAGCTTTATCAATCTTTGATACTGAAGTTCCCTATTTTAATAAATAAATCAATTAGAGTTCAGTGAGATCTACTATCTCAGGTGAGATAAGCTAGTATAAAGGAAAATTCAGTTGTTTAAGGCTACACTGACTACCAATAAGTATTTGGACACCTGTGATAGAAAAGAAAAACTAACTTTATTCAAAATCAATAGTTGGTAGAGCCTCCACGAGTGGTAATTACAGCGTGGACCCTCCGGGGCATACTTTCCACAAGTCTTTGTATGACAGCTAGTGGTATTTTCTTCCCACTCGACTTGGTGAAGACATAGAAGTTCCTTCACCAATTTTGCACGGGTAGTGCACCCCTGAATTCGGCGATGCAACTCATCCCAGAGGTTCTTGATAGGGTTCAGGTCTGGACTCTGGGCAGGCCAGTCCATTCGATGAACTCCATTGGCACCATACCAAGTATTGATTAACATCGAAACATGACAACTGGCATTGTCGTCCTGAAAGTAACAGGGGTCCAACCCGTAAAACTGCCACAACGTAGGAAGCCCATTGTCATCCAAAATAGTGCAGTAGGCATCGGAGTTGAGCTTACCATGAATGGGGACCAAGGGTCCCAGCCCATACCAGGAGAAACACCCCCAGACCATAATTCCACCTCCGCCGAACTTGACTGTTGGCACAATGCATTCTGACAAGAGACGTTTTCCAGGTAGACACCAGATCTAGACCCTGCCATCCGAACGGTAAAGGGTGAACCTTGATTCGTCACTCCAAAGAACCCGTTTCCACTGATCTACGGTCCAATTTCGATGTGCTTTGCACCACATTAACCGAGCAGCGCGGTTGGACTTTGTGATCAAAGACTTATGGGAAGCAGCACGACCATGAAAACCAAGCAGATGTGCTTCCTTACGGATGGTATTCATTGAAACAATACTCCTGGATGCCTGTTGAAACTCCTCGCGGATGAGGGCCATCGGTTGGGTGCGGGTCTTCTGAATTTCTCTGGACAGCACTCGTCGGTCTCTATCTCCCAGTTTCGTTGGTCTCCCGATTCGGGGCACATTCTGACAATCACCGCTCACCTTTCACTTCTTAATCACATAGGTCACTGTCGATTTTGGGTACTTCAGATCGCTAGATATGTCCCTTAAGCATCGGCCACATTTGTGATACACGATAATTATACCTTTCTCGAAATTAGAGAGCTCCGAATTGCGAGGCATCTTGCATGCGACTACAGCCGATGCTGTTTCCTACACGATATATACCGGCGGAGTCTGTGACATACCTTTGGACCGCAGATATCATTATTTGGATAGGTGTCCAAATACTTATTGGTAGTCAGTGTATATAAAAATCATAAATTATCAAAAAGTACAATAGCATTTTTAACTTTTCAATTCATTAGAATTTGACATTAATCTTGATTAAGTTCTAAACTGATGACATGAAACTAACAGAAAAAGTTAAAAATTCAATAATTTGAAAAGTGTAGATATTAAATCAAAACACTTGAAAAGTGTGAAAATTATAAATTATATCATGTAATTTTCACAGAACTACACAAAAAGTAACAGGAATTTAAAAAAAAAAAAAAATTATGGAAGTTTTTATTTGCACAATGGTTACATTTCTTGCCAACAGACAAATGTTCACTTCAGTTTGTCAAAAGTTTGTGCTGAGGCAAGGCACAGTTTGCAATGCAGTTAAAGTTAAATTATATAAATTCAGAGTTATAGCCGACATTCATGAGAATGGCTATTACACATGGAACAATACTCTGGAAGTCATCGAAGCAGGATCAGCTGTAATTCCTATCACATGATGTGAAATATGGCCACAAATGTCAGCTGACCTTTGTACACCTCTGATTTCAAGTAGATCTATAACCATAAGTCACACAGTGCAAGGTCTGGACAACTTGGTGACCACTTGTGTGGCAAACAGCAACTAAAGACATAGTCTTCATCAAATACTGATCACAGTAGGTACTAGGCAGAGCCTGCGCAGAGGTGCTTCATTCTGCATGAGAAGCATTTACCTTTCTTAGAAAGACATAATGAAATTTCTTTAAAACTGTTGCATAACACTCAACTGCGATAGAAACAGTTCAAAATGCATAATTGTGGAGTTCCTCAAAAAAAAAAAAAAAAGGAAGGGGGGGGACCTATAGTAAAAACACAAACAGCCCACACCATACTTTCATATTTGGTTGATGCAAAGGAGTTTCGATAAGTCCATGTGGGTTCTTTTTTTGACCAAATGCAGCTGTTGACCAAACGCATTTGGTCAAAATACCGGGTGGCCATAATTAAACTGACAGTGCTCACAGTGTTCTGTAGCGCGATCTATTTGCGAGAATGACGCCACATTTTGTAGAAAGATTAAACAAGACGGGGGACGAAGGATTCCGCGAAAAAACAAATTAGTTCCAAAAGTCACCGCTAGGGGATTATTTCACGCTGTACAAGAGAAAATAGATTGTTATGAAATGCAAATTAATACGGAAATTACCTTTTATTTTGCATTCAAATGAGGTTCAATGTGGCTGCCGTTGTTGTGGACCACATATTGCATTCTGCACAGTACGCACAACAGCAGAAAGTAACATGTCTGCAGGAATCTCCCATACAGTCTGTGATATGTTATCCTTCAACGTAGCAAGGTCCTGGACCACTCCTTGATAGACCTTGGACTTAAGGTAACCCCATAGCCAGAAGTCGCATGGGGTAAGATCAGGCGACCAAGGTGGCCATGCAGTTGGAAAGAAGGGGCTAATGACTCTTTCTGTTGTGAATGTCTGTCGTAGCATCTGTTGCACCCATACAGCAACGTGTGGAGGGGCTCCTCTTGCATGAAAATGATTTCCCCCAATCATTGTCTTTGCTGAAGTGCCAGAATGACAAAGTTGTTCAACATGTGGCGATATTTATCTCCGTTAACAGAACAGGTTTCCTGTCCTGTTGGGGTAATGTTCTCATAGAAGAATGGACCTACAATAAATTCAGCTATGAACCCACACCAAACAGTTACCTTCGGTGAATGTAAGGGAAATGCTGTGACTGCATGTGGTGATTTGTCATCCCAAATTCGGCAGTTCTGAGTAATCACAGTTCCATTCAGGTAAAAGTGGGCTTTGTCTCTCCATAAGATTTTCCACGGCCAAGCATCATCCACCTCCATTCTGGCAAGAAAGGTGAAAGCAAAAGTCAATCGCTTATCATGGTCGGGGTACAGTAACTCCTGCACACGGCTGATCTTGTACGAATAGAAGTTGATAATCTTTCGTAAGATTTTCCATACCGTACTGTAAGGCATATCCATATTCCAAGCTACTCCAAGAGTGCCAGAGGTGGCAACAATATTGTCTGGTCCTCTGTCGCCGTGGCAACTGCTTCGATTGTATCCTGTGGTACAGGTTTTCGTCCTCTGCCTGACTGAACCTTCAGAGAACCTGTTTTCTCGAACATCGCAACTATTGCTTTTAGCCCATTAACTGACACTCGACCGTTACCTTTATGCATTTTTTTGTGCATTCTAAAAGCACGAAGAGCGGCTGACGTGTTGCACTGGTTGAGGTAAAAGAATTTGACCAGTAACGCACGCTCGACTAAAGAAGGAGACATTACACATAAACTTTCAATCCAATTGATTCGAAACGTAACACATTGCCTTTTAAAACCCAAGCAGCTGGCACTGTGCAAATGGATGTAACGTGAAATTTGAATAAAGAGCATCTTCTTCTGCTCAGCGTACCTGATATTGCAGATCACAAAACTTTATCGGTGTTTATGTAGATTTTACGCTTTTTTAAAAGTGTTGCCATATTGCACTTGAACTAAATCAGAAAATGTGCATAATAAAAGGTAATTTTATTCCATATTAATTTGCACTTGTTAACACTCTATTTTCTATTACACAGTGCCAAATATTCCCCTAGCGGTGACTTTTGGAACTAATTTGTTTTTTTGCGGAATCCTTCGTTCCCCCGTCTTGTTTAATCTTCCTACAAAATGTGGCGTCATTCTCGCAATCTGTACATCTCAAATTACCAAATTTTTACTTCCCTTCATGGGTCATCCAGTGTACACATTGTGATCTACATATATCATATATATAGCATATTTTCTCCCCTTCTCATATTTTCCCCTACTTTTTCATACAAGGTGCTGTAAATATTTTAAATACTTATGTAATTTTCCCTTTCCTTCTCAAGAAATTCAGAAAGCAAACCTCTAAATTTCAAAAGCAATTCGCCTAAGTAGTGATTGTCTTCTTCTTAACTTTGTTATGTCACAGAAACTGGTACAAGGATTTTTTCTGAATTTTCTAACTGCTGAAATTTATGTCAACCTGGCTGAAGAAACAACCAATCACAACAAAGCAAACACAGACAGACATTCAGTTAATGATTTCATTGCATCAGCTGCACAGTAAGATGCTTAATTGAGCTATATATATAAGAAAAATAAAAAATATGTAAAAGATAAATTACCCCATTTGCAAAGTATGATTTGTTACATTGAAGTGCAAAAATATAAAATAATATGAGCAAAAATTCATTGCGTCAAATTATGCATATATTTTATGATTTTTAAACATCTGGCTGTAAAGCCCTAGCACTTCGATGCCAGCCTCTTTTTGTGTTTTAAAAATTGTTGCGGATTATTATTAAAATTAAATTCTTAAAATACATTTTCTGACCAATAAAAGATTAGTCACTGATTTTACTTAACAGCATGAATTATTTTCCCTTCTCTGTTCTAAAAATAGTAATCTATCTTTGCACCGTCTCATTTCGAGACTAATCCATGTCATATAAATACTCTTTGGCCTAGATGGATTGTTGTCTGCTACACTCATCTTATTGCAAAATATAGACACAAATAATGTGCCAAGTTGTTTGTGGCTACAACATGTTAACTGAAAATAAAATGAAGATTTAATCTGCCTCAACTGACAGTTTCCTGCTCATTAAGGATTAGTGTTCTATGCAATAAATATTCTTCCTCTTCAATATGCCATCTATGCTTTATGCCATCAATGCTGCAAAGTTCTTATATATGTGTGTGTGTGTAGTATTTTAAGTGCATAGATGCCACTGGAACTTTTAACAGCTTGCAGTCTTAGATGGCTGAGTGGAATGGTAGGTAATTAGCTGAACTTGGCTGTTGACACAAACCAAGTTCAGCTAATTACCATTTTTATTTTAAGGCACATTAAAATCATTCATCGTAGACAATATACTCTTTTTGATCATAAGCAATTACAACAATTTCATATACACTGGTTTTTAAAGGTATAACATAGGCATTTTTAAGAAGGCAAAGCAGCGCGGTTTGGTAGAGCAGAATTTAGGAAAAGGAAGATAACGTAGTTACTTGTGAGCAGGATTTATACCTAGTAGATGCAGAAAGTACTCTAAGCTCTGATTGGTTAATTTTAGGTAGTTATGTAACATAGAAAGATTCACTTAATAGTCACTGAAAAGCTATCATAATACCAGCACAGCAGTTTGATAATCAATATTATAATAATGTTTTTGTAGTTATGTGTTAAAAAAAGCCAAAATTTAGGGGAACACATAGTTGTCAACTTTGGCACCATAATACAAATTGATCGCTGCTGCATGCATATGACTGCAACAAGTTTTAAGAATGCCTATGAGCTGCAATTAAGAACATAGGTTTTTTTTTTTTTTTTTTTTTTTTTTTTTTTTTTTTGTGTTGTTGTTGTTGTTGGGGGGGGTAATAGTTCAATCTTGGATCTATTGGATCTACCAAATAATGATCTGTCAAGTAATACCACTAATTTCTAACAAGGGTATAATATATTACTATGCAACTGTCAATGCTTCAATTTTGCATGAAATGAAGTTTTTCAAAGTCAATCTGGTAAGTTTTATTAAGTGTATGGTGATGTTTCAAAAATATGGAATCAATGGGAGTGAACTATGAACTGCTTTACAGCAAGTAGATTGCTCTTTGTTACTGCCATCAGGTTCAGCTACTGTTGGTCTAAGGAAGTGACATCCTTAGACCATTAATAAAATTTTGCATGGAAGAACTCAACATGGCTGATACTGCTGCTATGGACTGCAGCAATTACTTGAGAGAAATACGCATCTATGAAACCCAGAGTCATGAAAATAAAAAAAATAGGCAGTGAAGGCTAAAACCTGTTCTCAAAAAAGAAAAAATAACACTGGCCACATTCTGCCATCTCAATGGATTTCCAGTGGCATCAGGTGGAAAACTCTAAAAAAATAAAAAAAATAAATAAATAAAAAAACTTTCTTGTTATAGTGCCTAACTGAAAGGCCACAACTTTGTTAAATGCAATCAAAGAAAATAACAAAAAAAGGAATGACCAATTTATTCCAACTCCATGGCCACCTATAAAACAGAAGAATTTCAAAAAGCTGGCTTCAAACTTTTCAAAGTGAACCACAAAGTCAATTTCGTGCATCCACATCTCAGAGCTTATACACAAAAAATCAAGCAGGTACAGGATTTTTCAAATGGCAGAACAAGAAACAGTAAAGCAAGACACTATTTGAAGCTGTACTTTGTGGAGTTCATGTGGTGGCAAAAATTTGCAGCTCAGGGTAAAAAAAAAACTCTCTGAAGCTATTTCAAAAGTTAGCTAAACAACTCCCCTCTAAAAAAAAAACTAGTTGTATCGAATTATTGTCAGTGTTAACTAATCCTTTTCCGTTAACACGTAAGTAAGTTTTTTTTTTTTTTTTCACTTTCTAATTCTACACAATATCAATGCATTTTAATAACTGCTCAATGAACACTTTAATATTTTCATTTGAAAGTTTATAACAACAAACAAAAAACTAGTTTTAAATATATTAACAAATACTAAGAAACAAAATGGTACCTATTAGTACATGTCACATCACATTTCAAACCAAAATTTTTGTGAACAATGTTTATAACAGGACATCGCGCTGAAATAAAAAAAATATTTGTGAACTGTTGTGGATGGCTACGCAACAACTTTGTTACAAATCTAAGCTGACAAGTTTCATCCATCTTTAGAAATGTTTCATAGGGAAAACCTCGTCTTAAAGCCGCAGTTGTTGGAGGAGAAGGCAATTTTACAATTTCAGAATCCTGTGAAAAACACCATATGAAACTCTTATTTCCAGGAACAAAAATATTTGGATAAATTTTATAAGTAGCAAAAAAAATTAGCAAACAGCATGAAAGAAAAAATCATTCAGTCAATTACATATAGTAACTTAAAATTAGGTAAAAAAGAAATTTTATTTAGCATAGATTTTGAATAAAACTCTATTATTTATGCTTCAGAAAGACATTTGCAAATAATATTTTGCTCAACAAGAGGGACCTGCATCTGATAGCTCTCAAAATCAATACAGTTTATTCAAAATCTACACCAGTCTAAAGCTGCTTCTTTCCTTTTGGGGGCAGGCTGACCCTCCCCTTGGTCTAATTTTACATTATATTTTGGCATGTTTCTCTTCCATTTTGGTATATTAATTACTTATGATAATCATTTTATTGCTAAAATCATTGCTTCCTACATAAATTTTGTAATTTATATAAATTTTATACTACTTTTTTAAATTAAGAATACTTTTTAGTATGTTGGGAAAAAATTTATGCATGAATTAACATATTAAATAAATTTGAACAAGATTTTTGAGTGGAACAATATGTAATTACAATGCCCTGAATTGAAGCTCAGTGTTAAGCAATGGCTGAAAAATTGATCTCTAACTGAAGGGAAAGTTCTAATGAAAGGGCAATAATATCAGGCCTCATTGAAATTATCAGCTGGTATTCTAGGATTTAAAAAATGCAGCATACCAAAACTCCCCACATCATGGAACATATATTATGCATAATTTACAGTTTTGTATATTTGAGGTAAATGAAAAACTATTATATTTAGAATAAAAAAAGGAGAATAAGTAAAAATTAATTTAAAAACATAAAAGCAATCATTTTTTGGCTTTTTTATAAAGAAATAAGTATTACTATAGTTTTACATAGGAATATAGAGTAAATAAAAATTATTTTTTACATTTTTCAATTCTGTTCGCAGAAGTTTTTCCCAAAAATACACAAAATAAATGTTACATCAACCATTTAGTTTTTGCACTAACACAACATTACCTTCAAGATTATTAATTCAATAGCACTCGAAACATAGTAAATTAAAACAGACATATGCTTATAATATAAAGTTTATTAAAGTAGATACTTACAGTGTTACAATATTCAGGATGTGGCAAAAATAAAAGATCTAAGTCACTTTCTTTAAATCCATATCCATTTATTGTTGATCCATAAATTAGGAGAACACATTTGGGATAGAAATGTGATAGGATTTTTAGCACGTCTTCACGAATAGCAAACCTAATTTTTAAATCTTCTGCAGAAAGGCACAAGAATTCACATAATTTTTTCATCTTTACAGATACCTAAATTTAAAAAAAAAAAAAAGAAAAAGAAAAAGAAAGAAAAAAAAGAAAAAAGGAAAATTTCTTAGTTAATGATTGAAACATTTCAAGAACATATATTATTTTATAGTAATAAAACGAAAAATTTAACAAAATTTCTAAAAACATTCATATATATATACGTAGGCTATTCAGAAGGTAAAAAGTGTTTCTGACTGGCGTTGCCAGGCGCTTGCCGATCACGTATATTTTAGTGTCTGCGTGCAGCCATCACAACGGGAAAATTTCTACGCTGCCCGAATTTCGATATTCAAATTTTTAAAATGTGCTCTGCAATTGAAAATCCCGCCAGTTCTGACAGTTGTCAGATGCGGTCTCTGTGATATGATTTTTGTTGGCAAAAACCGAAAACCCTATGGAAATTTATCGTCAAGTGTGTGAAGTGTACGGAAACAACGTAATGAATGAAATTTCAATTCGGGAAATGGTGCATTCAATTTAAAAATGGCCGAACTAACGTTCACGATGAAGAGAAGAGTGGACGTCCCTAGCATTGTGACTGACGAACTGGTCGCTAAAGTTTATGAAAAGATTCGTGAAAACTGGCGTTTCACAATAACGGAGCTTTCGCTTAATTTTTCCACAAGTTTCACAGACTTTGTTGTTTGAAATTGTCACACAAAAAGCTAGGCTTACCACAAATTTTGTGCAAGATGGTGCCGAAATTGCTTACAGACCATTGTAAAGGTTCAGCGAATGGGGGCAGCTTTGACATTTCTGGAGGCCTACACAGACATGGTATTCATTACTGGATCGAATTGTAACTGGTGACGAGACGTGGGTGAGACACGTGAATTGCGAGACAAAATTACAGTCCATGCAGTGGGAACACAACAAGTTCCCGCCAAAAGACCTCGAAAATGTTTGCAAAACCTTGTCACACCAAAGAAGATTATGGCGACTGTGTTTTGGGATAGGCAAGGTGCGCTTCTGATTGATTTTCTCGAACGTGGTGCCACAATAAACTCTGAGCGGTACTGTCAAACTTTGTGCAACCTTAGCAGAGCAGTTCAAAAAGCGCAGAAGAAAGTTGACGTCCAACATTTTGTTTTTGCACGACAATGCCTGACCTCACACGGCAAATCGCACTCAAGAACTCCTTAATTCATTCAAATGGCAGGTTTTTTCTCATCCACCCTATAGTCCCGATCTTGCACCTAGTGATTTTCACTTGTTTCCAAGAATGAAGAACTGGCTAGCAACACAGCGCTTTAACAATGACCAGGAGCTGCGGGTGCGCGTCACTGAGTGCTGAGATCGCAGGCGGCAGAATTCTATGACGAAGGAATTTCAAAGCTTGTCCACCGCTATGATAAGTGCCTCAATTTGTTTGGTGACTATGTAGAAAAGTAGAATTTTAGTCGCTCTTTCTGATGCATATAATAAATTTTTTCCCTGTACTTAGTTTCTTTTTAATTCCAAAACGTTCCTTACTTTCTGAATATCCCTCGTATATACAAAAGGTGTACACGATTTATTTACCATCTAAAGATATGTCTTAAATAATAAAGAATAAGAGATTGATGACCAGCTGAATTTTATTTAGCACTTGAAAGAATTTTATATAAACATATTTCAATATGAGCACCATTAGTTGCTTGGTTGTTCTCCATTTCCCTCCATAGGTTATTAAGCATTTGTGGAGTTTCTGAGATGATCTGACTTTTTAATTCTCCAATGCTATGAATCTCTGCAGCATAAATTCAGTTCTTCAGGTACCCCCAGAAAAGAAGTCGAGTGGTGTGATGATTCGAGAACATGGTGACCATGAAATTGGTCTACCTCTACCAATCTAACAATCTGGGAACGTTTCATCAAGGAATGTGTATACACGTGTAGCCCAAAGACAAGGAGCCTCACACTGTTGGAAAGAAAAAACATTTGACTCCAGTTCTTCTATTTGAGGTACCGAAAACAACCTCAGCACACCGAATTGATCATCTGAATTAATTGAAGACTCTAAGAAATGAAGGGACCATGACTTTATTATAAGTTAGTGTGCCTCAAATGTTAACTTAAGGAGTACTTCACTCAATTTCCCTTACAAAAGATGGGTTTTCTGACATTCAAATCTTGCAGTAAAGTCGATCAACATAATGTCGATCAATAATGAAATTTTACTTCATTGCTGAATAAGATTTTCTGAAGCAATTGATCATCATTATTGATGCTGAAGATGATGAAGAACATCTACAGAAAATTTCTTATGATCAACTCATTCATTAGGTTTGATTTCTTGACCAATCTACAATTTATACATAGTCAGTTTCAACAATTCATAAATAACTTTATAAACAGTCGACTTGGGCACTCCTGTTTGCAAGCTGGCACGGTGAATGGATTTACTGGGATAGTGTACAAAAACAATACAAATAGCAGAAACATTTTCATCACAGATGCTTGGCCTATCTGCATTTCTTTTATGCAAAACATGTCCAATCTCTCAAAACTGTTTGAAGCATCTTTTAACTGATTGTCTCATTGGTGAAGTTTCATTAAATTCATGTTGGAATCACCTCTAAACTGTTTTCAGAGATTTTTATTTTCAATAACCAGAGAATGTGCAATGTGTTTTCAATGCATAATGCCATTTTGTCTGTAAATAAACAAGTTCACTTTGCCATTCCCAAAAACCAGAACAAATGCAATTCCCTAAACTAAAGATCATAATGATATAAATTATTTCCTGTTATTTCATAAAATTACATTTCAATTTAATTGCATTATCTAGTGATTAAATTATGAACACTCTGTACATAAAATCAATCTTTAGACAACCCACATTAGAAAAGTGCTTCATTGTTGAGCTAATAAAGTATGCTCTTTTGACACATTCTTTATCAACTTATCTTTCTTGACAAAGTAATACTTCTGCCTTACAAGAAAATTTTCAGCTTATAGGAAAGCATAAAATAAAGTATGGGTACATGAGTGTCAAAAATGCAAGGATGAATATCATTATGAAAAGTTACTATCACAGAATCCAGCAAACCAACTTGTAACCATTATGTGCAATAGACAGCCAGTGAATACGTATTTGCAGAGTTTTTAATTTAAGGATCACATATAACTCAAAATAGAGGGTGATGAATTGTTTATTAGACATTCTAAATGGGGAAAAATAAACCTACAAATGTAAATTTTTTTTTAAAAAATATAAGACAGCATCTTGATGATTTTACCCATAGAAAAGTTCAAAGGCCTCACAACCACCAAAGTTGTAGTCAAATTTGTAGTTGCAGTCACGCAAAATGTTGTTTCCAAACTTTAGACAGCATTTCAGGCAACTAGAATGTATTTCAGATGCACTTTGTCTTTGAAAACTAACCACTGGAAATCTACTCATAAAATATCTCACATCAATAAAATTGTTTCAAAAGAATACAGTAAAATTAAATTCAAATAATTCTCTTGCGCCATTGCTGCAAGGAATGAAATTTGAACTTAATAAACATTCTCTATTCCTAAAAAGCAAATTTAAAGTTAATTAAATTTTAAAAGAATTTGAATTACAAATAAATGATTACTTATTGCTGCAAGCTAATCTACAACATCATTTAAATTCTGAGAGCATATGCAAATCAAGTGCAAGCATCAAAATCTATGAATAAATATATAATAAAAAACTGGGAATTTAAATGGTGTTGCTAATTTAATTTACTAAAATTTAAAGCTAAAATGAACTATTGTATTTAAACAGAAACACAGTACGTAAAATTTAAATAAAGCTAAGTGCAAAAATTATAATTCATAAACTAAAGAAAACCAAACTATTAGAACTTGAAAATGTCATTTTGAAAAAAATTGTCAGAGAAACAAACTAGGTAATTAGCACTACAAGCTGCTAAGTACAAACAAAATTTTTTCTAAAGAATATAATAAAGTTAAATTTAATTCAAATAATTCTCTTGCGCCGTTGCTGCAAGGAATAAAATTTGAACTTAACAAACATTCTCTATTCGTAAACAACAAATTTAAAGTTAATTAAATTTTAAATGTTTAGTTCAAATTTCATCCCTTACAGCAATGGTGCAAGAGAATTATTTGTTAATAGTTATAAATAATTAAATTAGGTAATTAGATAACCTTAGTCATTATGGATTTACATGGCCACAATTAAATTTTATTTTTTAACAATATTTGTTAAAAAAGCCCTATTAAAATCAAAATCTAATCAAATTTCACAGTTTAAGATACATGTAATTTATAACATTGATTCTTAAATGATATTTGGATAATTACACATTAAAAGCTACAAAACATTTATGTTTTGTAACAACAACACTCAACAAAATATTTATCCATCATTTTAATTTGAAGCCTTCCCAATCATTTTGGCTAGTTTATATCGATTTCCTTCTCTTTAAGCATCTTTTCTAACAATTAGAGATTTGTCTTAAAATGCAAACCAATGCTCTCGCAAGTTTCTGCATCAACCTAACTGCTTTATCTCCTAACTTGTCAACCTCCTCCACAATGTACCTATGAGGGTTTACTTGATCTGGTAAAATTTAAATAGTCGAAAACCCCAAACTGATGTGAAGCAAACTATCGCTATGTCTGAAAATAACTAAAATATCAGACAAAGGTTTAAATAAGCCTCTTATATAAAAAGAACTTAGAATACAAAGGCATGTTCTGATGCTAACAAAATCATTTACAGCTCACGATTACATAATTAAACAAGAACAGCCAAATTCAAACTAAAAGTGTGGACTAGTGGTCAAAGATTATACAATTTAATTTTAATTTAATCTGGCTCAGTAACTCTATCATATAAGGAAATAGAAATGGGAAATTATAGTAAAGGCTGAAATCATAAACAATTGGGTAATTTACATAATAATAATTGCACATTTTCTTTGAAGAATAATTTTCTTTGTTTTTATTATTTTCTTTCTTCAACACGTTTCCTTTTCATTTTAGAATTTTTGGATTTAATTAAAGATTTCCGTTATTCTAAAAAACATGAAATGCATTTAGAATGTATAGAAAATGGTTAATCTAAATTTTATTTCGTTAATAATATGAACATTCAGAAGAAATATATATGGTAAAGGCCGGTTACAGAGCCATTGTGGCAGAATTTTTAGAATTTAGTGACACACCGAACAACAAAATCTAGAAATGGCAAAACTTTTAGAATTTAGAGCAGGCACTGGAAGCAGAATTTAGGCTCCACAGAGATTGCATCAGGTGAGAAAATGCCTAGTGCCAGCTTTGTGTATGATGCATTAAAACATACTAGATGAATCTTTTAAATTGTAAGATTTCAATTTCTTTATTAATAAAAAAAATCCCTTTCTATAATGCCTGCCCATGTAACAAGATTAGAAGCATTTTTTATATTTTCCATGCTTGTGTCTAGTGAAAAGTAAAGAAAATAAAGGGAAGATAAACATGTTAAGAAAATGATTTTAGTATCAGGAGTAAAACATTCAAATATTATGTTTTCATTGTTCTTCCAGACATTCTCCAAAAAGTAAGAAATTCATCGCAAACTTTCTGTAAAATACATCCATTAAGTGTTGATACCATGGAGACATTTTTCATTTTGTCACATATTTCTCGAATCTTCTAGAATTGTGGGTCTATAAATCTTGCCTTGAAATCCTTCTAAACATTCCCACCTGCAATGTCTAAAATACTAAAGAAAAATTATCCCTACCAATTCAGTAACAACAAAAGGACAGAAATATTTTGGAAAAAAAAAGGAGGGAAAAAGTGTAAAATTAATTTTATAGAGAAAACTGATGCACATTCTGAGAATTTTGAATATTCTGAGACAATTACATGGGGAAAACTCTTACTATGAAAAAATTAAAAACAAGACATTTTTAATTAATTACATAGCTAATTTTGCTTTTGCTAAGACCTGTTTCATAAATTGTGCTTTATAGCATTATACTTTGTGTTGTCAGTTGTTGTTGGTCTCGAATAAACAATGTGCTATGTGAGAGTGTTGTAATGAACTTAATTATAGATCAATTAATATTAATATGATTAAAACATGGCGTAGTCGTGTGGAATCGTATTACAACTAATTGCCAGGCAATCCCTTTGGTTGTTTTTCCTCTCAGCAGACGCAAGATGGAAATTTGTCGCCTACCGCAAGGCCCAAGTTTCGAAGGCAATGTGGCTGAAAACTGGCGCAGATTCAAGCAGCTGTTCCACATTTATATGAAAGCTTCAGGAAATGCTTCAAAAGATTCAGATGTGAAAGTTGCTTTATTTTTAAATGCCGCTGGTGAGGAAGCAGTTGAAGTGTTCAACACGCTTCAATCTTTCAACAGGAGATCAGGTAACTATGAAAAAGTGCTTGAGAAGTTTGAAGCTTTCACGATGCCTAGAACAAATATGGTGGTGGAGAGATTTTTATTCAATAAGAGAAAACAAGAAGAAGGGGAAATTTTTGATTGTTTTGTGACTGACCTAAAAAAAATTTGTAAAATCTTGCGAATTTGGTGAGCAGAGTGACTCTGTCATACGTGATCGCATTGTCCTTGGAGTATCAGATGCCAGTTTACAGGAGAGGATGCTGCGAGAAAATAATCCGAGTTTGGAAGAAGCAATTGAATTAGGGAAAGCAACTGAATTGAGCAAAGCTCGTGCTCAAACGTTAAGAGAACACAATGTTGACAGCGTAACTAGAGGGAAAGTGAAGCAACATCTGGCAGGAGGAGCCAATGCAGCCTTAGCAGTAAGGAAGCACAGAGGATGGCGTGATGACGCTTCAAATACTGAGACATCTTTATGTAAAAAATGCAACAGACATCACGTTAATGGACAGTGTCCGGCATATGGAAAAAAATGCTTTAATTGTGGCAAACTAAATCACTTTTCGACTATGTGCAGACTGAAGCACATCCAAAATGTTTCTCAGCATGATAACGCAGATGTATATAGGGAATCTGATGATGAATTCTTCGTGAATTCCATAAATGTTCAAAGAACTAAAAGTGTGTGCTCAACATCGTCTACAAAAGAGTGGACTAAAACTATAATTGTTGAAGGGACAACTGTGACTTTTAAGTTGGACACAGGGTCTGAAGTGAAAAATTTATGAAACACTTGAGTGCTAAGAACTCTAATCTTATTTTAAACAAGTATAATGTTGTATTAGAAGCATTTGGGGGGGGTCCAAGGTTAAACCTGATGGGTCATTAATGTTACAATGTTCCTCAGATGGTGTGGATCATACTCTAGAGTTTTTAATTGTTTCTAGCAAGCATATACGTCCATTATTAGGAATTGATGCATGTGTTAAACTTAATTTAATTCAGTTTATAAATAAGGTTGGAATATCAATTAAAGGTAAGTTGGATCAGTATACAATTGTTTTACCTCCATCTAAAGATCAATTTATTATTAATAATTCAGAAGTGTTTGAAGGTGTTGTGTAAAATCATGGTTGATGATCAGATAGCTACTGTACGTAAGAGTACCACTTAGTTTAAAACCTAAACTTGAATTAAGCGAATTAGAGAGATAGGGCATTATTGCAAAAGTTGATCAACCTTTGAACTGGGTTAGCAATCTAGTAATAATTGAAAAAAGCTAATGGATCCTTAAGAATATGCCTTGATCCTCAAGATCTTAACAAAGCTATAAAAAGAGAACATGTGTTGATTCCAACAATTGAGGAGATTTTACCAAAGCTATGTAATAAATCAATTTACTCTGTTTTAGACTTAAAGGATGGGTTTTTTTCAAATAGCGTTAGATGGAAATAGTAGTGATCTTTGTACTTTTAGCACACCATTTGGATGCTATAAATTCTTAAGGCTTCCAATGGGTATTTCCTGTGCACCTGAAATTTTTCAGAAACGCAATCTTGAAAACTTTGGTGATATACCAGGTGATGACATCCTCATTACTGCTAGCACTATACAAGAACATGATATAAATTTTAACAGAGGTCATCAGCAGAGCTAAAAAACTCAATATTAAATTCAACAAGCAAAAACTTCAATATAGGGTTAGTGAGGTTAAATATTTAGGTCATTTATTTAATGCGTCAGGCATGCGACCTGATCCTGATCGAATTAAAAGCCATTACTGAGTTACAGGAACCTCAGAATAAGCATGAATTACAGCGTGTTTTGGGAATGTGTAATTATTTGAGGAAATTTGTACCACATTTTTCAGAGAAAACAGCCATATTAAGGAAACTTTTGAAAAACAAAGTAGAATGGCAGTGGTTACAGCTACATTCTAAAGCATTCAGGGAATTAAAAAAATTAATTTCCAATGCACCTGTGTTAGGAATATTTGATAGCAGTAAACCTATAACTATACAGGCAGATAGTTCTAAAGATGGGTTAGGCTGCTGCTTATTGCAGAATGGGCAACCAATTGCTTTTTCGTCTCGGAGTTTAAATAATGCAGAAAAAAAACTATGCTCAGATTGAGAAAGAATTTCTTAGTATTTTATTTGCTGTTAATAAATTTCACTATTACATTTATGGTAGAGAGGTAGAAGTGCTTACTGATCATAAACCATTAGTTTCAATTATGAACAAAAATATTGCTAATGTGTTGTCAAATAGATTGCAAAGGATAAAAATTAAGCTCTTAAAATATAACTTAAAACTTAAATATTTGCCTGGGAAATATATGTATATTGCAGATTTACTGTCACGTTCCTTTATTGATACACACACAAATGAAAAATGGATATGACAGAGATTGTTCATACACTAACAAAACAACTGCAAATGTCTGAGAGTAAGAAAAGGGAATTTCAGAAAGCTACATTAGAAGATGAAGGGTTAATGCTAGTGAAAGAATATTGGCAAAATGGATGGCCTTTGAGTGTTGATAAAGTTCCTAAAGAAGCAAGAATCTTATTTTAAATTTAAAATGAGTTGAGTGTTGAACAAGATTTAGTTTTTTTTTTTTTTTTTTTTAATAATCGAATTGTAGTACCTGTTGCATTAAGAAAGTGTATGTTAACATTATTGCATGAAGCTCACTGTGGATTGATTGAAAAATCAAAAGCTAGGGCTCGACAAGTACTATTTTGGCCAGGAATCAACAGTGACATTGAGAATATGATTTCTAAAATGCCTAATTTGTGATAGGTTCAGGCCTCAAACAGTAAAAGAACCTCTTGTTTCTCATGAAATTCCCAGTTTACCTTATGAAAAGGTTGGTGCTGATATCTGTGAGTATGCGGGGGGAAAAGTTATCTATCTAGTAATAGGCTGTTACTTTAACTAAATGGGTAGACATAATTCCTCTAAAAAATAAAAGTGCAGTGGAAGTGGAAGTTACTAGTAAATTGAAATCGATATTTGCAACACATGGAATACCCAAAACTTTAATTTGTGATAACGTACCATTTAATAGTTGGAAAATGAAGAGTTTTGCAAGGGATTGGGGATTTGAAATAATCACTAGCAGTCCTCGATATCCTAAATCTAATGGATTTGCAGAAAAGAGTTGGTAGGTATAGCTAAGAGTTTATTTAGAAAAGCAGGATTAGAGAAATTAAATGAGGCTTTACTGGAATATAGAAATACTCCAATTTCAGGTATAAATTTATCACCAAGTCAAATGCTATTAAGTAGGAATTTAAGAACACGATTACCAATTACACAAACAGAATTGAAACCAACTGTAAAAGATCAATATAGAGAAAAGGTGAGGAGTAAGCAGAAACAGGCTAAAATCTATTATGATAAGCATGCAAGGGAAAGACCTGAATTTATTCCTGGGGAAAAGGTAATGTTGAGATGGGAAAATAAATGGGAGCCTGCTATAGTTTTAAAAAAGCATTCAACTCCTAGATCATATTGGATTAGAACAAAAGATAATAGCATAATTAGATGAAATAAATTCCATTTAAGAAAAACTAAAAATCAGAATTTAGTGACATTAGACTATTATGATCTATGTAATGAGAAATATAAGTAGTGAACATACAAAAATACATGATGATCCTCACCATCAAAATAATAGCAATAATACAGTCAAAAGTTGTTAATACGGACTCGTCGGGACTTCGGCGATCCCGGATTATCGATTTTTCCGGATTATAGATCATCAGTTTAAATCTGGCAAGATGGCATGCAGAATTATAAAATTAAAAATACGAAACCGCAATTTATGAAATAAAGAACAATTATGATCTAAAGGGTATCAAAATTTACAAAAAAAAAAAAAAAAAGCTTAATATTTATTTGTTTACTTTATTAAACATTTCTTTCAATGTAAGTTGTTTAAGTTGCTTCGTTTTATGTGATAATACTTTCTCTTTAATCTATAAAAACAGACATAATTTCTTGTTCAGTTACAAAGTTCCGCTGTTCAAGTCCTATAATTGCTGTGTGGAGAATACCGACTAATTTGTCAATCGAAATTTTTTTCATTTTCAATAACCTCTCTGTCACTTTCTTCACTATCGGAAGCGAATTATAAGACGAGAATTGATTTAAATCATATCAAAGACGAAGTACATTGAGATGAAATACTACATTTAGTAAGGAATTATAAGCCAAAAAATAAAAACATCTGCC